ACCATCAGCAGCTATTTCCTCCTCGCCCGTTTGATTTCCTTCAAATCCAACATACTGAGCAAAGTCCGGAATATTGTCGTCTTCCACTTCATCTTCTTCCATTTCAACACCTTGCTCTCCGTGGGATGTCCAACAATTATAGCTTGGCATGAACCCCGACTCAAACAAGTGGAAATGAATAGTCCTGGATGCAGAATACTCCTTCTGATTCTTACACTTATTGCATGGACAACAAATAAAACCCCTTTGCCTGTTAGCTTCGGCCACTCTCAAAAAATAGTGCACGCCGTCAATAAACTCTTTGGACCGCCGATCAGCGTACATCCATTGCCGATCCATCTACATGAGTAAAAAAACCGCACACAAATAATTATTCTTACAATAATGACAGTCATACAATAATTATAAGATATCTTTATTCATACAAAAATCATAAAATATTACACCAAATAATTCTTAAAAACTATTTGTAAAGTTTTAAACTAATTTTAATGTGTTTTACTTCTTTTAATTTTTATTTTAGTTTGTTTTCTATTATTTAATATTAACTTTCACTAGAGTTTTCCTTCTCAACTATTTTATAAAACCTTGTTTAGCAAATGAACTAAATTTCTATATATTCTTTCTTCCCCACACACATTTTCTCTCTCATCAACTTACAACTAAATTTTGGAGACAAAAAAAGTGTGCAAAACATAGGTGCAAATGTAGTATGACAAAAAAAACATTGGAGGATGAAGTTGCAAACCTTTTAGGCACCTCCGATTTGTATGTAATCTCCAAAATAAATTCAATAGAAATTTTGGCATGACCTCCCCTCTTTTTTGAAGAAATTTTGAAGCTTGCTCGGGCAGCTGGAGGAGGAAGAAGACATATATATAGGGGTGGGACTTTAGTCCCGGTTGGTAGCACCAACCGGGGCTAAAGATCACCGGGATCATTAGTCCCGGTTGGTATTACCAACCGGGACTAAAGTTAAGATCTTTAAAGATCACCAAGATCTTTAGTCCCGGTTGGTATTACCAACCGGGACACCGGGATCTTTAGTCCCGGTTGGTGCTACCAACCGGGACTAAAGATCCCGGGGGGGCCTGACAGGTCCTGACAGCATTCGAACCGGGACTAAAGATGATCTTTAGTCCCGGTTGGTAACACAAACCGGGACTAAAGATCAAATATGCCCGTTACCCTTTTGAACCGGGACTAAAGATCATCTTTAGCCCCGGTTTTTATTGCATCCGGGACTATTGTGTAAATCGGCCGACCGACGAAAGATGGTTTCTCTACCAGTGTTAAATTTTAAATTTTAGACCCTATCACATTGGATGTTTGACACTAATTAGAAATATATTAAACGTAGACTAATGATAAAACCTATTTCATAATACTGGACTAATTCACGAAATTAATCTATTGAGCCTAATTAATCTATGATTAGCCTATGTGATGCTATAATAAACATGTGCTAATTATGAATTAATTAGGCTTAAAAAAATTATCTTGCGAATTAGCTCTCATTTATACAATTAGTTTTATTATTAGTCTATGTTTAATATTTTTAATTAGTGTCAAACATCAAATGTTACAGAGACTAAAATTTAGTCCCTAATCCAAACACCACTTTAGAAGAGCTGAGGATGCCGCCGGGCAATTAGATTCTGAAGTTTCTGAACGTCGTTTTCCCAACATCTCCCCTCCCATCCTCATCATGTGGAGGACGCAACCTAGAAAAATCGTGATGGGGAAAAGGAGATTTTAGTTGAGTTTCGGCGTAGGTTTGTAGCAAACATGTATTGCTCATCTGTTCATGGTTGTGTTGCACTTAATGGGCTTGATTTGATGTCTTTGGTATTTTTTTCTTCTCCATAGTTGGAGCTTGACTTATATTTATAACCAAGATGGGAAGAGTGAGAGGAGTCATAAATTGCACATGGCACGAGAATCTTATATGTCTAAGGGAAAATTTGTTGTACATCCATCACCTTTAAATAAACTCTTCTTTTCTATTATAAAGGTGGCAGTTATCCTGCCCTTGCTGTTCCAAAAAAAAGTACACTTGGTCATGTATGTTAAGCTTGTTGTGCAAATGAAATGTGATATACCACTTTCCTCAAGCATGAGATGAGTTCAAGGCCCATTTCATTGTAGAGTGCAATAACACTAGTACCTTCACACACACACACACACACATATATACATATATATATATATATATATATGTATGCAACACGCGGAAGATGGATTTCGGCGATGGAGGTACAGAGTTTTACTGAAGCATGGTTCAATGGGGAAAAAAAAGCTTCCTAACAATCAAGTGATAATTTTGACGGTAGTGCAAATGAAGTTATCTCTATAAGAAAAAAAACTATAAAATAGCTAGAAAAAAATTTAATACTCAAGAAAGGATGATTTGGGGTTTGAAATTGCTTGTTTTGACACAAGTAATAGTATAGACACATATTATGTATACCTATGAAACCACATATATTTTGAAAAATAATAATGGTTTTGCTAAAATTCTGTCGCTAGATTTTTGGCCCCCATTTTTTGGGTCACCTTTTGTCCTCTCAAATGTCCTATTGACAGGCTGCTATTCGATTGTGAACTGAGGTCTCAATTAATAATCCAATATATGCTGTTCCATGTTGACATCTTGCCTTCTCAGCGCTTCGCCATACTATCAAATTAAGCATTGACATGATTGAATGGCCGCGGCTAATTAAGCTGGCCACTTGCTCGATCTCATTATCTTAGATGATTTGTCCCTTGGTTTTAGCTGCTACTCCCTCCATCCCAAAATAGATTGATATATGTGGACACGCTGCTACTCCCTTCGTCCCAAAATATATGTGACCCCTATATTTTAGGACGGAGGGAGTAGTTGCTCACACCCTTACGGCTCAACGTACCGTTTAGCTGTGGAAACTGGGAAAAGAAAAGGACACCAATTTCTATAAGCTAGGGCGCTGAAAGATACGAACTTTGATGGGATACACCAGTGGAAAAAAATAACACTTGGTTTGGTTGAAGATCTCAAAGTTTGCGGTTATTTTCTCAAAAAAAAAAGTTTGCATTGTTTGCTAAAAGACACTTACACTACAAAAATAATTTATCCAGTTGAAAAGCGGGAACACTTTACAGTAACTTCACTATCACGGCTCTCTCGATCATGGACTCCATTCTCATTCTTGCTTTGGACTCGGATCGATCGGCAGAAATGAAGAAGAATATGGGGCAAAATCAACATTTACATGGTGTTTTAGAACGTTCTGCAACAAAATTTTGCGAAAAGATTAGAGAAGTAACTAGATATTAAATAAAAGGCATCTATACTAATATAAAAGATGATAGTGGTGGTAGCGGCGCCACCACCACCCAACTATCATGCGGGACCCACGAAATGTGAGTTGCTTATCTTTTAGCCCCATCATATCATAGATACCATCGAAAGGAAAATATGACAATAAAATATTATGAAAATTTTCCTCTTTATGAAGAGACAACAAAATTAGTATAATGATAATATATTAGATAATTAAGAAAAAAAGTTTACCTATTGCGTTAGTATTATGCTAGTACAATTAACTTACTTATATAAGCAGATTTCTTCTATCATGTAAATATACGGGATGACTAGCACATGGTACACCAGTACCGGCACATGGATCATCAGGCTGCAGTCCTCATAGTTACTGTATGTACCAGACTTAATAACTACTCAGTACTAAGTATGGTACATGTTGATATAAAGTTTGATACAACATAGTACCTAGCTATCACGTTCTAAATTGATATAATACTTATCATGTAGTATTTCTCTAAATTTATTTGACGCGTTAAAAGTCTTTGCCCTAACACATGAAATTTGTATGTACTCCTTTTGCAAACCGGTACTACGAACATGAACAATAGACCCATTCAAATCCGTAGTAATCCCTCCGGTTATATAATTCTTACCGTTTTGGATAAAACCAAGGTAAAAATTTTATCTTTCAGTAGTTTTAGAAAGAGTAAATTTTAGAAAACTACAACTTTAGTGACAAAACTATCAACTTGCTGCAATATTAGCGACATGTTTCAGTTTGCTGCAATAATAGCGTGAGAAATTATTAGAAAACAACTACAGTTGTCACCTATATGTACTGTAGCAGCATATAACATAAAAGTTGTAGTTTTGTGATAATTTCCTACGCTATTGTTGAAGCAAACTGAAACATGTTGCAGCAAACTGATAGTTTTGTCACTAAAGTTGCAGTTTTCTGAAATTTACTCTTTTAAAAAACATTTAGTTTTAAGATACTATAACAATATAATTGTTATATAGATTTATCTTATAATTACTACATTATAATAAAAGTAAAATTGTATTTATTTATTATATACATTTATTTTAGAGGTTGTATTATTATTATTATTAAAAAGCCAATAATTATGAAATTGGAGGGTGTATTTTAAGATGGAAGAAGCAATAGCACCAAAGTTAGGCCCTGTTTAGATCCCACCCTAAAATTTTTTACCCTATTACATCGAAAGTTTAAACACCTATATGAAGTATTAAATATAGGTTAAAAAATAACTAATTGCACATATTGCAACTAATTTACGAGATGAATCTTTTAAACCTAATTGCTCCATGATTTGACAATGTGGTGCTATAGTAAATATTTGCTAATGCCAGATTAATTAGGATTAATAAATTCGTCTCATGGTTTACTAACGGATTCTGTAATTAGTTTTTTTATTAATACACCAATACCCCATACGACACCTATATAATACTCGATGACACACGAAAACTTTACGTCCCCTGGCCTAAACACTCTTTTAGTTCAAACTCCCTGGAATTTATTCTAAAAAAACCACTCTTGCACAGAGGATACCTTGTACGAATAGAGAATAAAAAAGAGTAATAATAGTACCAGCGATCCAGCACAGTGCTTGCTACCACTAGGACGCTTTACGTGTCATCAAGAGCTCCATTTTTTTCTTTTTTTTAAAAAAAAGCTCGGAAATGGCGGATGACCAAGATGCCCTCTTCCCCATACTCCCTCTCCCTCTCCTCCTCCTCCCTCCCGTCTCTCTTCCCCGTGTTCCTCCTCCACCGCTGTAGCTGTACCCCTCCTCCTCCTCCTCCTCTCCTCGATCCGCACGCACCGCCATCTCCGATCCGCAGCAGCAGCAGCAGCAGCAGCCGCGAGGCCCCGGAGCCACGCGCATCTCGCTCGCCGCCGGCGAGAAGGCCCCGGTAACCGGTGGGCCGCAGAGGGGGAAAAGGTTTTGGAGGGAGCGACGCCGCGTGCGTCCCCGTCTCGGCTGGGACCGAACCGGAGGTGAGGTGCTCCTCATCCCTCTCTCTCTCTCGTCCGCTGCTCCATTTGATGAGAGGGTTGGGTTGGGTTGGTGTGGTGGAGAGATTGGGAATCCATCTGGGGCTCCGGCTTGCTGCTGATTTCCCCTTTTCTCTCCGATTTGTTTGATGCGTGGTGTGGTATCAATAGCTGCTTGTGTTGTAGTTTTAATTAAAAACAGTTTAGCGGTTTGTTTTTCCGATACAAATTCGTGTGGTTCAGCTGATTTTTTACCACTTGTGGTTTTGATCAGCTGAAAACCAAAAGTTGAGTATACTGAGCTTGTCGCTAACCATGAAAAGGTGAAGCAGGTGTGCCATTTTTGGAGGCTATCGATGGGTCTGGACAACAATTTCGGGGAGCTATCTGGCATGTTCTGTGGCTTGTCCTATGATGGCTACACGGATCACGGCAGCCAGAGCGATTACTTCAGGTTCGCCGACCCGCAGCCGGCGATCGTGCCCCAGATGGACGCCGGACCCAGCTCCGCCGCTTCCTCCACGGCGTCGAGGGCCGCCGTCAGCTCGGGGACCGACAACCCAGAGGACTGGGAGTTCATCTCGGACGAGTCGCTCAACTATATCAGCCGCATGCTCATGGAGGAGGACATTGATGAGAAGGTCAGCATGTACCAGGAGGAGTCCGCGGCGCTCCGCGCTGCTGCGAAGCCATTCTATGACATTCTTGGGCACAAGTTCCCGCCCTCCCCTGACCGCCAGCTGGTAGCTTGGCCCCTCGACAGCCCGAGTGAGAGTAGCACTAGCAGCTATCCACACTCCTTGGCTAGTTCTGTTACTAGCAGCAACATTAGTGGTGCGGTCGATAGCAGCCAACGCCGTTATGTTGGACACAGTGAGTATCGGAGCTTGTCTGGTCATTCTTCTCAACCGCCGGTTGGCCCATCAAGTGATGTTCGCAACGCTATGGAGACACTAGAAGATCCTTTGATTAGTAATGGCAGGATCCCTGAGTATTTGTTTGAGAGCTTTCCAACATGGGATTTCAGGAGAGGTGTTGACGAGGCACAGAAGTTTCTCCCGGGTAGCGATAAGGTAGTGATTGATTTAGAGGCTGGTGGTGTTGCAAAACGTCAAGAAGCAGGGAAAGCTATTTCTCTGAATGTCAGCAAGGCAGAGGTTTTGAAGGTAAAGAAAAACAGACAGAGTGAAGACCTTGACGTGATGGAAGGACGGAATAGTAAACAGTCTGCATTTTGTTCTGATGAACCTGATTGGATTGAGATGTTTGATGTTCTGCTTCGTCAAACTGAGAAGAAGGCAACTGATCTTCGAAAAATGATGCGTTTTGAGGCTTCCAAGAATTCTCAAGTTGCTCAGCCAAAAGGACCAAGTGGGACCCGATCACGGGGACGGAAGCCAACTAAGAAGGATGTGGTGGACCTTAGGACGCTACTCATCCACTGTGCTCAGGCAGTGGCAGCTGATGACCGCCGGACTGCTAATGAGTTGTTAAAGCAAATAAGGCAGCATGCCAAGCCAAATGGAGATGGCTCCCAGAGATTGGCGTATTGCTTTGCAGATGGTCTTGAGGCTCGCTTGGCTGGAACAGGGAGCCAACTTTACCATAAACTTGTGGCAAAACGGACAACAGCCTCTGACATGCTCAAGGCATACCATCTTTACCTTGCAGCATGCCCATTCAAGAGGCTCTCACATTTTCTTTCAAATCAAACAATTTTGAGTTTGACAAAAAATGCATCAAAGGTGCATATCATTGACTTTGGCATTTACTTCGGCTTCCAATGGCCGTGCCTGATTAGACGTCTCTTCAAGAGGGAAGGTGGGCCACCAAAGCTGCGTATCACAGGGATTGATGTACCTCAGCCAGGTTTCCGCCCAACTGAGCGCATCGAAGAGACAGGGCAGAGGCTTGCAGAATATGCTGAGAAGATTGGTGTCCCTTTTGAGTACCAAGGCATTGCATCAAAGTGGGAAACAATCTGTGTTGAGGATCTCAATATTAAGAAAGATGAAGTAGTGATTGTTAATTGCTTGTATCGGTTCAGAAATCTTATTGATGAAACAGTTGCCATAGACAGTCCTAGGAATAGGGTGCTCAATACCATAAGGCAAGTGAACCCAGCAATTTTTATCCATGGCATTGTGAATGGGTCGTACAGCGTTCCCTTCTTCATCACACGGTTCCGTGAGGCATTATTTCATTTCTCTGCATTATTTGACATGCTCGAGACAACTGTGCCACGGGATGATGCCCAGCGTGCACTAATTGAGAGAGATCTATTTGGCCGGGAAGCACTCAATGTGATTGCATGTGAAGGCTCAGACAGGGTCGAGAGACCGGAGACATACAAACAGTGGCAAGTGAGGAATCTGAGAGCTGGATTTGTCCAGTCTCCATTAAACCAAGACATTGTGCTGAAAGCCAAGGACAAAGTGAAAGACATCTATCACAAAGACTTTGTCATTGATGAAGACAGTGAATGGCTCCTTCAAGGGTGGAAAGGAAGGATAATCTATGCCATATCTACATGGAAGCCTAATAACAATTAGGGTATGGTCTGTGAGCTGTGCCTGGTTGCCCGTTAGCACTAGCAATTAACGAAGAAAAGTACCTTGCATTGGGCTACATGCGTATGTACAGGTCTGCTTATTGTTTTCCAAAGTACTGCTGCTCAGTTCAGTGATTTTCACATTTGTCCACTATTAGTTCAGTTCAGTACTTCTGTTCTTGATTTGGCCTTTGAGTTGATAATTTTTTTCAAGTTTAGAACAAGTAGGACATATGTCACAATGGGTTAATTAATAAGCATAACTATCAGCATCAAAGTGGCATATGTCAGAAGACAAGTGTACTTTTTACATGCTATGCATTCCATGCGTTGGTGCAGACCGCAGAGCAGTTTCTGCCTTGCTTTTACCATATCTGTATCTATACTTATATATAACATGAAAAGCACTAGTTTCAAACTTTTACCATACATGAAAGGTTGCTACAAGTAATCCTAGCAATTGGTTGGTTTGATCATTTTGTATTGAAGATGGATCCTTCATCCTTTCCCCCAACCCAAATCTCTCCAAAACAATTAATTTGTACTTAATATATACTCTTTGCTCTGTCCAGATCTTCATGTGCACAGACAGTCCTAAACGTCCGATCTGATGAATCTAATGGATGATATCCATTCCATGGTCCTGCCTTCCACAGATAACTTAATAACAATAGTCGTCTACACTAATACCTGATAAATTAATTACCTTAATGGCCTATATTCCTCCTAATCCTGCTCTGGACCAAAAAAAATCCCAGCCTCCTGAGAATACTCTGCAGCTGCATGGGTGCCAAAGTCCAATGCCTGTAACATCATAGGTATGCATTTGCTATTTTGTTTTCAGTTTCCTTTGCTCTCTTTTCTTTTAGGGAGTTGGTAAAGTATGGAATTGTGATTATCTACTGCAGGCATGAATTAATTTGACTTGGATACAATGGACATATATCAGCACATCTATGCATTACGACCTTCTGATCCTCATGAAGCCTTGGTTTTAACCGTTGCCGTACGAGTGCTTAGTGCTTGCCCCTGTTTAGCCTTTTTATATTTTCCCTTTTCCAGGGATGTAATTTACAGGTTCCTTTTATTTGGATTGCATTGTACTAATTACATAAATGTTTTAACGTTTTTTGGCCCAACTATTTTCTACCATCCATCCTTACTGAGATTTACTGCTCACTTTCTGATTGCTGAAAATTCGAAGAAGTGGTAAATTTCTGTTTTGCTCACAGTGAAAGCTTGGGCCTTCCACTTCATTTCAAGATGGATTTCTATGGAAATACTACAGTGAAAGATTGAACAGAAGCCGATTGTTGCTTTCTCATTTTGTTCTCATGCAAAACCAGGTAAAATTTTGACTGCTTTACCTTTTCCAAATAATAGTATCTCGATAATGGTATATTCATAAATATAGATTTTCTGTGCATACTTTATGCTATAAGAGACAGCATGACTAGCGGTATCTTCTGAATTATTCACACACAGTGGTTACTTTTTTTTTTTTTGCTTAAATGAATAGCATCTCAATCGCCTAGATTTGTGCATAAAATGCTGTTTAGGACCAACTGATTGATCAGGCAATGCTCAATTATGTGGTTTCTAAGCAGTTTGATGCCATGATAAAAAATGTACCATAGGTTTGTTACAAATACATGTCGAAACATCTAGTGTTAGTAAATTTCTGCGACAAACAGATGGTATTAAATTTTGCTTATTCTAATTTCGATTTTCTAGGGTCACTCACTGGCAGATGCCAAACCTTCTCGATTGTGTAAAATTCGTTCTATACGGAGTATAACCCACCAGGGTTATGGAAATCGCGGCCTGACCTAGTGAAGGACCGTGATGATCTCTTTCAATGATTCCTCCAGCACTATCAGCTTTTAAAGATAAAATCAGTAGTGCCTTTTTAGTTTCAGTAGTCTCTGTTTTAGTAACTTTTTATTTCATTTATAGGTTTACAACATTTCGATCTGTTTTGTTGGGGATATATGTGGATGTGTACTTTTTTTTCTTTAAAAAAAAAGAATTTTAGGCCACCTCAATTTAAAGCTACTCCTTCCAGCCTGATTTATAAGTCTTAATGGAATAACCTAATTTGTGTTAATTGATAAGTCATAAGCGAGATAACAGATTTTATCTGTTTTTCTTCAGCGTTTTCTGTTTTATACTTTTATAAGATAAAAGATGTATCGGCAAAATAAAGATTCTGCACATGAGTTTTCAGTCATGACAATGTGTGGATACTGGATAGTTTTAAGAGATTGAGATGGTTGGGAAGCTGCTCCTCGAAGAAGGTTCTTCTGTCATGGGCTTGTCATGGGCTTTGGGCCAGGAGTCCTAGGCCCATTAGATAGAATTAGGGTTTGTTAGGATTAGATAAGGTTTGTTAGGATTAGATTAAGTAGCCCTCCATCTATATAAGGAGGGATCCTATCCCAGGTCAGTTAGGCATTAGATCAATATTTATCTTAGTGCCCATCGGCCTGCCTTCTCATTGCGACGGAGAGCGTCGCGCCGTTTAGGTTCAGGACCGTATTCCTTGTTCGTGACAACTTGGTATCAGAGCTTCGGTTCTGTGCCCATGGGTGCCGAGATCACTGCGGTTCCCAACATTAGCGAAGGTCTTGCCGAGATCTCGAAGAAGATGATGAACTTGGCGGCGCAACTCCGGGCCTTGGCGGCTCAGTCAACCGAGCCGGTTGCTTTCCTTGAGGAGGCCGAACCATTATACCGGCATGCGGTGGCCTTGCGTCCGCGAGGGCGCGCGGCGCCAAGTCCGGGAGTGGCTGCGCAACCTCGACCTTGCCGCTGGGACTGGCGATGGCGCCGTCGCCATTGGCGCCCTCAATGGTGGTGGAGAAGAAGACAGCGACACAACACGACTTGGGTGTCCGGTTCTCGGGCACGATTTCCAGGCGATGCGACGCGGTTTCCGCAGTTGGTGGCGCAAATTCTGGCAACGGTTGGAGCAAAGCCAGGCGGCGTGCATGCGGCTCGAGTCGCGAGCGCGACGGGTGGGCGTGGCACTCGTGCGTCGCGATGGCGCAGATTGCGCCGGGTCCACACGTTGGTTCGTGAAGCTCGCGGCTCGATCACGGCTGCATCGTTTCTGGCGGCGTGGCCTCGTGAAGAACAAGAGGATAGGGTTTCTGTCCTCTCCCAATTGGGTTGGCTGGTCTGGTCTGGGTGGTTTCCACGTTGGCCCATGAAGCATCCGAGTCAACTATTTATTCCTTTGCTGTTGGGCTGGACAAGTGGGCTTCGGTGGGAGGCATGCTCAGGGTTTCTGTAGGACCAGGTCCTCCTGCGCATGAATTGTTTCTTATTTTTGTTCATAATAAAAGCCGAGATGTAAAAGGCTTAAGAGTCTTAGTTTAGGTTATGGTGTTTTGTTTGAGTCTAGCAGGGTCCGCTGCAACTCGAGGACGAGCTGCTCAAAAAGAGGGGAGTAATGTCATGGGCTTTGGGCCGGGAGTCCTAGGCCCATGAGATAGAATTAGGGTTTGTTAGGATTAGATAAGGTTTGTTAGGATTAGATTAAGTAGCCCTCCATCTATATAAGGAGGGATCCTATCCCAGGTCAGTTAGGCATTAGATCAATATTTATCTTAGTGCCCATCGGCCTGCCTTCTCAGTGCGACGGAGAGCGTCGCGCCGTTTAGGTTCAGGACCGTATTCCTTGTTATTTCATCTACTATAATCCAATCTATCCCCATTCATCCCGATTCTTCTCCATATAATCCTTGCTCGTGACATCTTCGCTATTGGATTATATATGTTGAAATTGAAAAGGCTATTATATATGTTGATTTCTACTTCAGGTTGTCTTGTTAGGTTACATCAAATGGAGTTTGCTCCTCTGTTCTTCTGTTTATATGTACACATTGTTTATCTCTTAGCTTATTTTTCATGCTATATAAGTGCCTATTGGTTGATCTGGCATCCTGGAATGTTCATAAACATCATGATTCTTCTCTACGTAGTATATTCTAGTTTGCTGACATATTATAGATTCGTGCATATGGTGAAGGATGGATTCAAGAATTTTAACGAACCAATTATAGAAACTTCTTTACACTTGGATATCTGAGGGGACACTTGCATTTTGATCTGCTCATAAGTTTTAGTCACAGGATGGCTGAAGATAATCCGAAAAAGTGATGGGCATCTTGATAGCGAGTTAGGTTCATAGTAACAGAAGTGAGAAGAGGGAACAATGAACTTGTGTTAGAAAAAAAAATCAATTGAGGTTATGATTATTTGTGCTTGCAGCTGGTTATCACTGTGGATGACATTTTCTTCTGATGCTTATTTAATGCCCAGTGTCCTAAATAAAATATGAGTGGAACAAACACACTTTCATGATAAAAGGAAATATTATTAGCTGCTAGCAACCACCCATAGTCATCTTAGATATCAGTACCTTCTGCACATCTTGTCATTTCTTTTTGCACGTCTGGTGAATGTATGTTCTCATTTAATTATCCATGATAATATTGGCACACGTTTAGCTATTGTTAGATTAAGAACATGTCTTTTTGATTGTCAATCGTGTACTGCAACTATATGGTGTTGGCTAGATTTGGCTGTGTACATCCACTTTGGATATAGAGGCTGGATTTTATCCATTATCTAAAAATGGTGGTGGCTTGATCATCGAAGAAGATATATGTACTTGTATTTACTTAGTTGCTAGACTGACGAAGTGAGAAGAAACTGACGAATCTCTTTTTTTGATATTTTTCATGCATTTGTAAAGCTAAATAATTATATACTCACAGATATTGGTTACTTTGTATCTGCAATTTTTCATGAATTTAACATGTTGACTCATGTGAAACTGAAGAAAAACAAATCAGGATGTAAAAATTATACTGCCAATGCTGTAGTTATAACTTATAAGTAGATCTTAGAAGGGAGTTAAACTTATGAGTCAAAAAGGAGTTAAAGATCAGATTGATCTCGCAAGAACCTTTGTTTAAACAATGCAAACATGTGAAGTGTCACACACTAGGGTTCCTCTACTGGTGAAACCACTAAATTGAGATTTTTGTGTGCTTGTGTTATCTAAGATTTTGTCTTCCAGCTATTTTGTGCTAGAAATTTCTCCTCTTGACTGTGCAGATATGTCTACTGCTGTTGCTTCTCCCCATTCCACCTGCCAGCGTCGGTCATCTTCTATCGGGACCCGAATTGATGTTTCTTGTGATGATCGGAACTCGGAAGGTGAGCTGGAAGAGGGAAAAAGAAAAAGAAAACCCTCCCAAGGTATCGTGAAGAACTTCTGCTAGTACATCTGATAATTGAAACCAGTGTTTGCTGGCTTCAGTCCTTGTGTGGACTGAAGCTATAGCTAGCGCCTGGAAACATCTTCGTGAAGCTGGTACAACGTATTCTGATAATTGAAACATCAGTCAGATTCTTGCTACATAGGATGATGGGCCATGCGTATCATGCATGTGATGCGGCGGCTGAAAAAAATAAAGGCGAGAGAGACATGGAACCAAAGGAGGAGGCTTGTGAGTGGGTAAAAGAAGCTGATCATAATGATAGGATTGATGGGGGAGCCTGATCCTTCTTCTCTTGTCCGATGCTTGTCCGATGCTGCTGCAGCTGGCTGGTGGTGGTTATCCCCATCTGTGACCCAGATTTCCTTGGTGCAAAGGCAAAGCGTCCATGAGAGGTCCATGTTTTTCCCCCAATTAATTTAGTATTAGTACTATTGTATTTTTTTCGTGGGAACCAAATTAATTTGCTTATAATCTTGCAGGTTATGATTGGACTGGAAGGAAGGTTTCTTTCTCTTTTTCTCTCCTCTTTATCTCTGGACGTGGATTGCTGGGAGCCTCAAATCCGTTCCTGCTATCCTGGGCATATAGTGCACGCACTCAGGTAAAAGTGAGATCATGGATGGTGATGCGTGGTTGCGTACATACATGGCTCGTGATCGGGTTCGTTTAATTGCAGGCACGGGAACAGCAACGGCTTAACCGACGGGACAGGCTAGAGCTTCTCGTTTCTCCGGCGATCTGGGGAATTGAGTGCTCTCTTCCTGGTTAAGTGATGGGCTGATGTCCATGCGATGGGCCGCATAAACCAGAACTCGAGGCCCAGTTGTTTCTAGCCCAAAGGCATTCACTGAGACAGTTGCTAGTTCTGAGGGATATCTGGGCAATCTAGCCCTTTGCAGCTGCCGGTTGCAAAGGGCCTGTCACTGACAGCCTTGGCCCTTGGTGGATTAGTGTTGTCCCGTGGCTGGTGCCGAAGAAGGCCTGAAAGGCTCAGGGCCTGTTTGATTCTAGCCACTGCCTTAACATTTTTTTTTTTTGGTATGGCAAGGTTTGGCAATTGCTAAAATTTTGGTAGAGTTAGTTTGGATTGTTGCCAATTCTTCTTTTGTAAGATTTGAGTAAGCTTCAATTTGTTGCTATATAGGGGTGCCAAATGATTGGAAAGGCATTGATTAAGTTGGGCTACAACCCGAACACATCCTGAAACTGCAGTGGACGAGGGTAGTAGAAGAAAGAGTGAAGCACTGGGGAATGATGCAAACTTGCAAAGATAGAAGTTATACTTTGGAGTAAATTTTATAAAACTAGAGATAAAATGACCAAACTATTGTAAAACTACAGATTTAACTTAGTGTTTTATAAAATTATAGATTTAACATCAAATTTATTACAAAACTACACATTTATTGCAAAACCATCATAAAACTACAGGTTTAGAACTATTTTAGCCACAATGGTGATAGGTATTTAAACCTTGAAATGTGTAGTTTTCTGATAATTTCAATATTGAATATATAGTTATATTTATGATAATTGGTCTTAAATCTTTAGTTCTGTGATAAATTTAGTATTAGATTATAGTTTTGTGATATAACACCTTATGTAGTTTTGTGATATTTTAGTCACAATACCAGTAGTTTTCTGAAATGCACTATATATTTTAATATGTTAATGGTGTTGGATAGATATTGTAGCTACTTTTAAGTGCAGCTTTATGTTTTCGTGTCTAACATTTGACTGTCTGTCTTATTTATTTTTTTTTATGATTAGTACTTTTATTAGATGATAAAACTTGAATAATGCTTTATGTGTGACTTAACTTTTTTTTAAAAAAAAATTCATAAACTTTTTAATAAAACAGATGGTCAAACATTATACACGAAAAGCCACAACTACACTTAAAATAGGACAGAGGTAGTATTAGGTAGTATAGGTAGTGCTGCAACCTGTACCTATTAGCACCACGGTTTTGCTAGTCCTCGAAATGATTTCAGTGAATTTCGTTCAAAATTCGACACAAACCGACAAGTTTGAATTTCTGTCGTCAAAATTTGATGGAATTCACACGAATTTAGCAACTTCTCCTACCTGAGACACAATAGTTCATATCCACTGCGCACGAACGCAGTATTTCTGGAGCCGATTGGCGATAACAAGCAGCAGAACCAGAGCAAGTCCAAACGAAATCCAGTATGGCAGTATGTGCCATGCATCATTGGATGGACTATGCAGAATGATCAATCGCGAGTTTAGTTCCAAACTATTTTTTCAAACTTTTCACATCAAAACTTTTTCACACACAAACTTCTAACTTTTTCGTCACATCATTCCAATTTCAACCAAACTTCCAATTTTAGCACGAAGTAAACACACCCCAATTTGCTTCTCTCCAGACTCTCTAGACTCCTCTGTTTGACGTCCTTGTACTGATCCAGCTACCTACTCCACTCCACTACCATCAATCATTCAATCATCGCCGCCTTATCTTTCCCAATTCGATCGATCGACCACCTGCCATGCCGTCCGGCTACGACGACGACCGCCTCCGCGAGCTCAAGGCCTTCGACGACACCAAGGCCGGCGTCAAGGGCCTCGTCGACGCCGGCGTCACCGCCGTCCCGCGCATCTTCCACCACCCTCCCGACCCCACACCGGTCGCCTCCGCCGCCGACGCCGCCGACGCCGACGCCATCCCGGTCATCGACCTCGCGCGCGCCGACGCCGACCGTGACAGGGTGGTCGCCCAGGTGAGGTCGGCGGCGGAGTCGGTGGGCTTCTTCCAGGTGGTCAACCACGGCGTGCCGGCGCGCCTCACGGACGGGATGCTCGCGGCGGTGCGGCGGTTCAACGAGCGGCCGGCGGCGGCGAAGGCGGCGTTCTACACGCGCGACGCGGCGCGGCGCCGCGTGAGGTTCAACTCCAACTTCGACCTGTTCGAGTCCCCCGCCGCCAACTGGCGCGACACGCTCTTCTGCCAGGCGGCGCCGGACCCGCCGGCGCCGGAGGAGCTCCCCGCCGACGTGAGGGGCGTGCTGCCGGAGTACGCCGGGGCGGCGCGGCGGCTGGCGTCGTCCGTCCTGGAGCTCCTCTCGTCGGCGCTGGGGCTGGAGACGGGGCGGCTGGGGGGGATGGGCTGCGCCGACGGCGTCAGCGTGGTGAGCAACTACTACCCGCCGTGCCCGGAGCCGGAGGCCACCGTCGGCACGGCGAGGCACTCCGACCCGGCGTTCCTGACCGTGCTCCTGCAGGACGGCATGGGCGGCCTCCAGGCGCTCCTCGGCGGGCGGTGGGTGGACGTCCCGCCCGTCGCCGGCGCGCTCGTCGTCAACGTCGGTGACCTGCTCGAGCTCGTCAGCAACGGGAGGATGAGGAGCGTGGAGCACCGGGTGGTGGCCAACCGGAGCAGGGACGCGGCGCGGGTGTCCGTGGCGGCGTTCTGCAACGTCGACCTGGGCCGCGAGAGCAGCCGGAGCGGCAGGCTGTACGGCCCCATCGCCGAGCTCACCGCCGGCGGCGACCCGCCGCGGTACAGGAGCACCACCGTCGCCGAGTTCCTCGCGCACTACGACGGCAAGGGCCTCGACGGCCGCCCCGCCCTCCACCACTTCCGTCTACCTGCCGCCGCTAGTCTAGATTAGCTATATCAGGGTTTAATCTTCTGTTTTTTAATTGGCGTTTGTATCGGAGGGATGCCGATATACTGAAATTTGGCCAAATTTAAATAAAAATATTATCGAATTCATATAATAAAATGAAATTTTTTTTAAGAAATTCTGGCCGAAATAATGTTATATTGGGAGGGTCTGATAGGACCGAAATTTCTAAAATTTTGTTCCAGAATTTTGAACGAGGCTATATATTTCTCCCTCCCTCTCTGTAACCTTGTTCCACTGCACATTTCACCTAACAACGCTAATAATGCATGAGCAAGAAAAGAAAATTATACGTGAGAATTACATATTTCATATCGAACTGCATATAAAAAGAAGATTAATTGGCATGTTAATTCGTGTCTGCTGATTGCGAAATAATTAAATTAATAACCTTCTCTAAATAGAGAAATGTGTGCTGACAACTTTCGGCTAATAGCATTTGCGTTTTACTCCTATCTTCCCAGTCTGGCACGCAAAGCACCATGAGCTAAGAGGCCTCGGACAATGCTACAGAATCTGAATATTGAGATTGGTTCTTGCACTGCTGATGGGTGTCCCTGCAAATAGTTGGAGCATGCAAATGAAACATGTTACAAACTTAATTACAAGCTACCAAATGTACATAATTAACTGAGATAGATCTCTAGCTTAGCTTTGCTTCGTAAAAGAATTCAGGGGCTGTTTGGATCCATGTCACATAATGCCGCACCTCATGTTAGTCAGCCACACATGCTTAGCCCTTGTTTGTTTTGCTTCCATAGTTTAGTCTGCCAAAGAAAGCTAGACAGCTTCTTGCTGCTTTGCCACATATTTTTGAGCCAAAGATATGGCAAGGATTTTGTTCGCCACACTTTTGGCATGTGCTAACTTGAAATATGGTAAGTTGAAATACCCAACCAAACAGACCCTCAGTATGCCACATGAATTTCTTACCATCCGTCTCCTTGCTTCTGGGTTCCTTTCTCCTGATGCTTCCCATCCTCAAGCGCACGGAGAGTCAAAAAAACGAAAACCGCATGAGGCACAAGATAGAATCTGAATTACAACGCTAGCTAGCAATATCAAGATGGATTTCCCTAAAATCACAAATGTTCTCTTGTTTGGTTTTTGCTCAATTCTCTCTTCTGTATAATTTTGGAAGTTTATATAAAGAATGAGACATTGCGAGAGAGATGGGGTAAGTGCTACACTGATCAGGGTGTTAGTAATGTCAAGCTGTCAGGACAAGAGGAAATCAGGAAAATAAAGACATGGAAAGGCCCTTTTTCTTACTACTCCCTCCTTTTATAAAATTATAGGGTGAATAGTCAGTTCACTCCTTCAACTTTTGCTCAGGGATCGAATTAGTCCTTAATATTTTATAATGTCCAAATAAGTTCTAAAGGATTATCATGCGGCTTAATATAGTCCTTGACTCACTTAAAATACCACGTGGATATGCCACATCATTCATGCATGTAAAGTTAACATTTAAAAATGTCCATTTTAACCTTACATTTTTTATAAAAAAGGAAAAACAAAGGGAAAAGCAAGAACAAATCATAAAACTAAGGAAAATGCCAATTTTTTTAAGTTACCAATGCTACATATTTTAACCAATGGCCAAAACCTTTTTTTTTGTTGTTTTTTCTCAATACTTTTTCTTTATTTCCTATGAAAACGTAAGAGTAGAATGGACATTTAATTTAAATATTGAATTTGCATGCATAGATAATGTGGCATACACACATGGCATTTTTAGAGGGTCCAAGGACTATGTTAAATCACACAATGAACTTTAGGGACTTGTTTGGACAATACAAAATGTTAGGGACTAAATTGATCCTTAAGTGAAAATTCAAGGATCATGTTGGTTATTCACCCAAAAATATAAGGCGTATGTTGCTCAGGGTCCGATAACGGTAATCGCAGGTAGGGTTTGATATGATTTCGGCAAATTCCAACTTAGAAGATATGAATAAATACATCATATAAGTTGTACCTAATTTGTAGTGCTAGTTGGTGAAAAATATTTGTGAAAAATACGAAGTTAATATCATTTGCAGCCAAACCGAAATTGAAACTAAAAGTAGAAAAGAAAGGCCAGGACAATAGTGAGCGCTATTTGAGAAACATCCAGGGGTCTTCCAGCTGACTCCACAAGGTGGTGGGTTAGATGACCTGGGTTTAAAGCCTCACCCTTTCTAGTTATTTGATAGAGTAAATTTCACTTTGTACCATATATGTTTACCAGATTGGCATATTAGACCAGGGCTAAACTTATATTTTCACTTAACAACATCTTTCTTTACCATGCTTTGCAGGTTGGACCAGGGTTTAACGCTACCAGGAAAGCCTCGGCCCAGTCCACGTGAAGCGCTTGTTCGTTGTGGAGGGGGCGAGTCCCCGCATGTGCGTCGGCGCTTGTTGGGGGAGCAGCGACAATGTGAGGGCTCCTCAACGGCGCCTCCACCTATAGGCTACAGCTTCTGCCCCTTAACCAAGGGCATCTTTCTCTAGTGATCATCGACAAGGTGGATCCCGACGTCGTCCTGTACATGTGGCCACGGCTTCCACGCTGTTCATGCATGGCCCCTAATCACACTTAGAAGTTGAAAAAATACTGGTAACATGATTAGGTCGATAGGTTTTGAAATCATACTAGACCTAAATATTGGCTTCCAGATTATGTGAAGCAATAAGGGCCTAACTATTCCATTTGGCATTAAACAAGAACCAATCTTTCTTTTTAAAGTTATGTTGTACCAATTGATCTTAAGAGTCAGGAACACAGATTACTTACAGATTACTTACAAGGTACACAGAAGAATACAATCCCGCAAATGCCCCAAATCACATCCGAATTGCAGAACTGTAACATCGTTTTTATTTTTCTCTCCGTGATACATCCCAAGCCCGAAATCCCCGAATAACTGACTGCCTCCACGAAGCTAAGCAGCGACCCGGGTGGTTCCGCAGCTTGTGCCCTCCAGACGCCATTGTACATTATGGCGTCGATGTCCACTAAACTGGCCCTTGGTCATGACGCCAACAACGTGGTCGGAAGACGCCGCCGCGAAAGAAGACGAGGCCTTCGAAGAGATGTCGGTAACAGCCGGTGTCTGCGTGCCGAGCTCACGATATGGCTTTAGTAGATGTGGCGTGGTTGGCACAGAGAGTTGATGCGTGCACTTGGACTCGTCGCCTCCTCCATACGAGCAAACGCTTCACATGGACTGGGCCGAAGCTGTCCTGGTAGCCCAAATGCTAAATCCTGGTCCAACATATAAAGTATGGTAAAGAAATATGGTGTTAAGTGAAAATATACGTTTACCCCTTGTCCAATGTGCCAATCTAGTAAATATACATGGCCCAAAGTGAAATTTACTATATTTAATATTATGTCCTTCCCTCATATTCGCGTCTTTTAATAGTGAGTACTATTTTTAAAGACCATTTAGAGCATCCACACCACAATGTAAGGGTATTAGGAGAGAGAGAGAGAGGAGCTAACTATCGGTTCTGTACATTGCAGGAAACTTTTACATGGGTTCTAGACTAAAGAGAGAAAAAACACACTAATGCGAAGCACCAGAGGTAGCAAAGGCATCTCTCGAATGTAAAGGCATTTTAAGAAAGAAGTTGCAAATGTGATCAATTGCTGTTGGTTTTTATTAGTTTTATATTACAAGGCGTGGTATGAGAGGGGTTCTACACTTTTACACACTGCGAGAACTTTTGCAAATGTGATCTTTGTATACGTGGCAGAGCTTGATACCCTTGAGCAAATTATAGCATCACCGTCGCCGATTTCCTCACGCACTATGACGACAAGGGCCTCGACGGCTGCCCGGCCATGCACCACTTAAGTCTACCTGCCGCTAGTCTAGACTAGCTATATTTCTCCCTCTCTCTGATATAATTTTTACCTCGGTTTATATTGTTGGAATTAATGAATGGGCCTTAGCCCACTCGAAGATTAATTCTTTGGAAAATCACAAAAGCCCACCTCATGGGATGGCATGCATGTGGAGTTTAGTACCACCTTGCTTATTCTAGGAGAGGGGGACCTCCTTAAAAGGGAGGATGCCCTCCTAGTCGCTTGAAGCATGTGTGGTGGAGAGAAGAGGGGAAACACATGCGCGCGCTCGCTGTGCACGACGTACGCGTCGAATGGTCCGAAAAATTGGCTCCTCACCCTTGCGCAGATGCAGCCTCCTTTTGCAGTTTTGTTTTGTTGCAAATTCGGATTCGTTTTTGTTTTGGAAACGTTCCGAAAGATCCGGTGCGTGCAAACGGCGTGGAGTCCGGATAAGTTACGCGCGACTTATCCGGTTCGGTTACGCGCAGTAGAGATCGTGCGGGCGCCCTGATCAAGCGACCCTTCTCTATATAAACCGACCTGCCGTCTTCACGCAACATACAAAAAAAAATCAATCTAGGGTTTGATTCCTACTCTGTACTGCGCCGTCGCTCGTAGACTACTCCATCCCGCTCGCCGGCGTGCACCGGCGATCGGGAGAGCAGGTCTCCGGAACCTCTGCCTTCGACGTTCTGCACCGGGAGAAGGCGGCAATAAGGTTTTTGGGAAGCGCTTCGCGCGACTGCTCCCTGTTCGTTCGCGACGGCTCGCCTTCCTCTTCGCTCGCGTATTTCGTGCCTTCGTAGACACTTGCGAAAAGTTTCGACCAAGCAGCCGGTCTTTCCGTCACCTCGGTACGTGTTCAATATGTTGCGCATATTTGATCTGTTCATGTTATACTGTGTAGTTTACATGTGTAAATCTAATGATGCGTTCATGCTAGCTTTCATCTGTAATGTCATGATTTATTTATGGAATAGATTAAATCATTATATGTCTATAATCTCAACATATATTATCACGCTTTCAAACTAAATGGTGTATTTTGTATAAAAACTTTCTGTATATAAGTTGCTTTAAAAAATATTAGATAAATCTATTTTTTAAGTTTAAAATGATTAAAACTCAACTAATCCTGTACTAATGATCTTCTCGTTTTGCGTATTCCGTATTCGTACTTAATCTTCATCTTCATAACTCGTGAACACCACCTCTGTTCCGCTACACATTCACCTAACTAACAGCACCTAATTAATAATGTGTGAGGAAGAAAGAAAAATTATACGTGAGCATTTCATATTTCATAGTTCGATAGAGCTGCATAGAAGCCAGATTTGGCATGTTAATTCTCGTCCGCAGATTGCAAATAACCTCCTCTAAATAGAGAAATGTGCTAAGAACTTTCGGCTAATGGTGTTTTACTCTATCTTGTCGATCTGGCACGCGAAGAGGCCTCGGACATTCTACATAATCTGGACGTTAATTCTCTTTGGTTCTCGCTCAGCTGATTGATGTCCCTAGAAATAGTTGGAGCATGGAAACGAAACAATGTTACAAGTATGTACATAATAACTGAGCTAGTTCTTCTCTATCTAGTTTTGTAAAAGAATTCGGTATACCACAACACATTGAACTTCTTACCACCCGTCTCCTTGGTCGTTCTGGGTGTCTTTCTCCTGATGCTTCCCATCCTCAGGCACACAGAGGGTCAAAAACGAAAACCGCATGGGACACAAAGATATAGAACCTAAATTAATGTTCACTTGTTTGCTTCGTCCTCAATTTTTCTTCTATTTCATTTTGGAGGTTTATATAAAGAAGACGGTGAGGCAATGAGAGGTGTAAGTAATGTCAGGATAAGAGGAAATAACGAAAATAAAGACATGGAAAAGCCCCATGCTAGCTACTCCCTCACAAAAAAATAAGGGGTATGCTGTTTAGGGTTTTTCTACCGGTGATTACCAGCTTACGGTGCAGTACCCAAGCTTGATATAATTTGGACAAATTCAATTTAGAAAAAAAATGTTTTTTTGAAAAACAACGTATGAGTAGTATATAATATCTAGTGCTAGTTGCTTAAAAAAAGTTTGTAAAAAAATGAAGCTAACATCATATTTTGCAACCAAACCGAAATCGAAACTAAAAATAGAAAAATAGGCTAGGGCAACAGTGAGCACTATCCATAAAACCCATTTAGGCTTGCTTGAGGGGAAAATGGATTTGGCAAAATTTGTTAAACGACATCCAAAAAACATGTAATTAGCATATGGACACCGCAAGAACGTGAATTTGCTGTCAGATACCACCAAAAACTGGTAATTAGCTGGCAGATAATCGTGGTCTTATTTTATTATTTCCGGAGGAATTATACATAAAGCATTTCATAGTTTGATAGAACTGGATGTAATGTAGATTTGATCTGTCCTAATTCTGCTTCTCTTCGACCTGCTGATATTCTTTGCTACTAATTTTCTCGTATCGTCTACCAATTTGTTTTCTCTCCCTTGTCACCCATTGTCACACACGTAGAGGAACTGAGGAATGTTGGAAACAAAATGTCATGATTCAGCTAGCTATTTCTCAATCTTTTACGCGAAATCCTGATGGGTATAGAGCCTTGCTTTGTCTATTTTCCACCACTCACGGCTCTGTTTGATAAGCCTGAAAGGGTATACGAAAATAAACATGTTACAAGATCAGATGTACACAAATGAAGTAGAGTAAGTAATCCGCTAATTTGACTGACTAAAGAACTCGGTATGGTGCACATAGAGTTTCTTACAATGAGGTTCCAGATTTCTGTGCTTCTTTTCCCTGATGCTTCCCATCCTCACGATCACTCCAAAATTCGGACGGATTCTCCAAAATTCATAAACGTTCTCGCGTTCTTGACTTCTTTCCACCCTACTGTTTTGGATGTTTGTATAATGAAGATGGTGATGAGAAACTGGGAGAGAGATGAGGTAGATGCTGCAACGACTGATTCCCAATGATTCCCATCCTTACGCATAGGGGCGGAGCTAGAGCGAAACAGAGGGTGGTGCCACTTACTTAATTTACTCTACTATAGATCAAATTTAAGCTGATACGGGTGCCTAAATTTGTATTGAGGGGTGTATACATGGTGAAAATAGATGAGGTATAGCTAAAAAAAAATTTTTTTGACCGGGTTCCTAGGCATCCCCCTAACATATACTAGCCCCGCCCCTTACACACACATATTTAGAAACGAACATAGCCTATGGCACCAGATAGACTCTACAGCGCTAGTTGAAATATTCAGACGGATTCTCCGAAGTCACAAATGTTCTCTCCTTTGCTTTGTGCTATGTTCTTAATTTCTTCTGTTTTGATTTGGAAGTTTATATAAGGAAGATGGTGAGGCACTGCAACTCTGTAAGGGAGATGATGTAGGTGTTGCATTGATCAGGTTGTTAATTAGTACGTAGCAGCTACCGTTGCAGATTATAGGACAAGAAGAAATCAGGCAAACGAATTAGATATGGAAATAATAAGGCTCTTCCTTGCTAGATAATAGTTGGGAGAATAGCTACTGTAGTCCATAAAGTTTCTATGTAAAATTAGTTTAGTCCCTAACCTTTTTAATAGTCTAAACAAATTCTTAAACTTTGTCATAAGGCTTAGAATAATTCTTGGGTCCACCAAAATCGTCATATGGATATGCCATGTAATCATTCATGCAAAATCTATGATGAAAATGTAAGAGTGAATTAGACATAACCATAGGAAAAAATACTTTTCCTTTTTTTCACCCTTTGATGTATATTTTTGCTCTTACATATACCATACTTTTTTTTAACTTTTTTCATTTTGCCTTTTATTTTTCTATGATATATGTAAGGGTAAATTGGACAAATTATATAGATTTTACATAGGAGGGTGACATGACTTGTCCATGGAGCGATTTTGGTGGGACCAAGGACAATATTAGCCCATGTGACAAATTTAAAGAATTTGTTTGGATAATATGAAAGATTAAGAACTAAAATGATCCAGGAGTGAAACTTTAGGGACCATTTTGGCTATTCTCCCATAATAGTTGGTGCATGCAATTAATAAGTTATTGATTTTTGGGTAATATGGCTAATTGATGCAGTTCAATGTAGTATCAAACCATAGGTCTCAAATTCAATTTCTTGCCAATATATTTTAACTCAATTTTGTGCAGTGAGACATTAATTCTACCAGCAAGAAGTACATGCATTTGCATGCACCTGAACACACTAAAGTGTTCGAGCAAAGAAAATACCAGACTCAGTTTATTCATTTTTTCTTCTTCAGCTATATTTTGCATACTGATTTTTTTAATCAGCTAAAACAAGTTTCTTTCTCCCCCTTGTCATCCATTATTGTCGGGTTGAAAAAAGAAGGGAAAAAGGAGACGGGAGCATGGAAATATGACGAAACACTCATCATCTACTTCGAAGAGCGTTGCTGCATAGTCCGCTCTATCTCCTCTCCTTTGCTCAGTGCTAGGTTTCATATCCCTAAAAAGGTATAGGCTCCTATCGGATGGCCTATTCAGCCAAAAAAAAAAAAGCCAACATTTTAATTTTTAAACTTAATTTTGACATTGACTTTAAGATATTTTTAACGTAGATTCTTTTTCAGCATTGGCTTTTAAGTCACCGAGAACACATATATAAATGTTTTACCTACAAATTCATTTTTATTCTCTAATAAGCCGTTACAAGAAAGCCAAACGATAAGGCCTATAGTTACATGAAAAGAGAACATGTCAGAAGAATTGATACGTACACCACACACTCAATTTCTTACTATTCATCCTGGTCTTTCCGGTTTCCTATTTCCTGATGCTTCCCATCCTCACGCACGGAGATTCAGAAACGAACATTTCATGGGACACCGGATGGATGGACTATATAGTGCTAACAATATCTAGTATAATCTGATGGATTCTTCAAATCACAAATATTCTCTCATTTGCTTTCTTCTTGACATTTGTCCACAGTCTTTCTTCTTCTATTTTGGAACAAATAATGAAAAGAGAACTTTTATGGTCCATGAGAAAGCACTAGGAGGTATAAAAATTTTACATTAAAATTTTGATACCTCGAGATACAAAGCTTTATACTAGAAAATGTGGTGTCTCCCGATAAGTTTCTAAGGATGGTAAAATTACCCTAATCCTAACGAAAATGAAGGAGAAACTGCTAAGGGATATATGAGTCTTAGGGCAGTCCCAACCCTCCATCTAGGATGGTGTCTATGGCATTAACTACATTGTCATGTAGTACTTTTAGCTTATGTGGCACTATATTAATTAAGAGTGAGAGAGTGAAGAGAGGAAGAAACTGGGTCTCATGCAAGACACAGCTTCAACACGAGAACCTATGCACTAGGCACTATCAAGTTTTGCATTGAGAGAAAATAGTGTCTTCAAATAGATGAAGAATAAATATGATTGGTAGAGAAGAGAGATGATGTATTTATTAATAGCCCACTTTAAGAAACCATGGGTTGTAGAGTGTAGTTTCTATTGTGATGTCTTATTCACATGGCACCATAGACACTGCTTATGGACACTATGGGTTGGGACTGCCCTTATGAGGTACGTGTTGCATCGAGTTGGGTGTTAGTAGCTGCTGTTAGGAGAAGAAGAAAAGAGGAAAACTCCATTTTCCGCCGTCGAGTATTTATGTCCAATTACTCACTCCATTATTCAGTTCTGTATGCGTCTATTGTGCTTGCATGTCCAACATTATAAGGGCTTTGTGCTTTTTTTGTCAGTGCAGTCCTAGTGATTTGGAGCGTGAAGTGCTTCACCATGGCCTATACATAATTTTTATTAAGATCTCTAGTAAATTATTAAGGAGCGTGTTGTGTATGCATGGCACTATGGCCCAAATATAATAAATCGTGAAGACATGAATTAATTGAGGGGATATATATAAGCTTCTTTTGTATATACGGACGTTCTAATATATTGACGTGCAATCCTTTGGCGCGTTCGAAAAAAAGTATATACATATGTTTCTTCACTTATCCAATAGTGGCATTCTCCTCGTTTTCTATATGCTCTCTCATGAAATTCATTGCCTGCTGACACATGCATTCGTAGTTTCCTACTCCCTCTGGTATCAAATATATGGATGTTTGAGGGTTGTGCTCTTTGGATGCAAATTATTGACGTTTTGGTATTTGATTGCCACTTTGGACTGCTATACCTTTGCATGCATGTAATGCTTGTCTTCAGTAGCTCATCAACTGTAGCAGGCTCCCAACTTCCCAAGCAACGACGCATTAACTCCAGCTTTGAAACTAAAGGCCATAGCCACACAGGTCGCATGGGAGTTTTTGATAAAAGAGCTACACTAAAGTTTTTAATAGGGGTAAAACAGGAAATAGGCAACCTAATTAATCACTTCTTGGTAAGTGAGATCCTGTCCAAAACGTCAATTAATATAGAACCGGATGAGTACTAATTACTCCCTCCATTCCATAATATAAGGCACAACCACTTTTTTTAGATGTTCCATAATATAAGGCATACATGCATGCCTACAATTAACTACTGACATCTTCTCCATTAAATTATTAACTTTTTTAAATCCTTCACTCTCACATCCTCTAATTCTATTGGATACATGCATTGTATTTATTAGGATGATCCAAACTACAAGATGATAATAATTATTTCTTGATATTTGGGTTAAGAGTGGTTGTGCCTTATATTTTGGAATGGAGGGAGTAGTAAACTCCACTGCTGCTAGCTACCCCCTCCGTCCCAAAAAAAAAACCCAAACCTAGCTAGGAACCTACGTATATACATGTCTAGATTCGTAGTTAGGGTTTATCTTCTTTTTTTTTTGGAACAGACTAGTAGTTAATAGGATTACTGTAACAAAACTATATTGGTGTATATCTCAATAGTGCTTCTATAAGGTCAGAGACAGACCAACCTGGTATGAAACAGATTAATGGCTGTGTTCGTGTATAGAGGTTAGGAACACATGCCCTGCACACGGAAAACAAAACAGTCTATTAGCGTGTGATTAATTAAGTATTAGCTATTTTTTTAAAAAAATGGATCAATATGATTTTTTAAGCAACTTTCGTATAGAAATTTTTTGCAAAAAACACATTGTTTAGCAGTTTGAAAAGCGTGCATGCGGAATACGAGAGACAGGGGTTGGGAACCCATGATTCCAAACACACCCTAAAAGTACTCAACCTCAGTAGATCTTGGATCAGATTTATACTCATATTACTCCCTCAATCCCGTAATATAAGGCGCCCACGCATTTCAAGATTCCTATCTTCAAAATATTTTGACCAATATTTATGACAATATGAATTGAATTTTACTTGCTAAAAGTTATATTATTGGATTGACATTTGAATTTACTTTCATATGATTACAATTTTGTTACTACACAGATTAGTTATAATATATGAGAAATTATAAGACAAAAATTAGTTTTGGAGGCCGTGTCAAGTTTGATCCTGCCTTATATTATGGGATAGAGGGAGTATTGCTCAAAGAGTAAGACTCATATGTGGTTTTGCTATGTCTAAATATTGTTGAAGTAGCTGATTGATTTTTCACTGCGGCGTCTGAAAGTTCCCTCGGTTTATTCTAGGTTCCTTTACCTGAAAAAGGTGAGATGTCAACAAAAGAAGCCATTGAACATAGAATTCAGCTTGTTAAGAACAAACACAGTTTTTTTTCAAAGAAAGGAACTAATATCATAAACATTAATTTATTTACTGATCCAGCTGCGAAATGTGGAATTCTAGAAGAAAAAGATACTAAATAGATGATCCCTTACATATGTGATTGGTCCCTCTGGATTTCTTGTTCTCGATGCCTCCGATTCTCATTGACACATAAGTTGACATAGCAAAACTGAAGGATAAGTAGACTCCATTCTCCTGTGCTTCTTGGTAGCTACTCCTACATGCCATCTGTGCTCTGTTTTAAAAACAACTGGTTTGGCCTTTCTTCTATTTTCCCCTCGGCTCGTTTTGATACCTCATATAACCTTGAGTAGCTGCAAGGCGAGATGCAGAACTGGCTACGGAGAGGGGGGAGGGATGGTGGATAGAGTGATTACAGCAGGTACAATAGATCGTTTTTGTTGGCTACACTGCATCCATGCTGGAGAAATTGACGAGCTGGAGTAGGAATGAATGGAAAGAGAGTGAAAGCGAGCGACTAAATAAGCATCGATTGCTCACCCGCTCTTATTGGATCTCTGCAGTAGTTCTATTCTCACAGAGAGAATGATTGAACAGGGATCAAAAGGATATGGACATGCGTGAAAAGCTTAGATTAAAAAATTAAGAATAGATGCATAGTGTTTGTACCATAAATTGGCTTATAATTAGTGCATTTACTCAGGCTAAATTATGTAAAATAGTTGGTGTGATTGTTTAGTGGTTTAATTATAAGAGTAGCGCAATTTATATGTGTGCAGGATTATTTGGTGCACTGGAAGGTTAAATCTGGTGCTAGCTTGTTGCTCGATGGTCTGCATGACGGTGATTAAACAGAAGCAGATGGATGGATGGATGTGGTCATCTGATTTTATGGATGCATTAGGCTGGCTGCTGGTGCTGGCGTGGCGTGTTAGAGCTGATGAAGCCGGTTAGCGCGTGTTGCGGCAAGATAGATAGAAACGGATTAGCCGGTTAGTTTGTTTCCTTTCCGATTAAACTTTTCCATATTTTTGTGGGATCAATTAGGATTGTTAAAGATTGATTAGAGTGACCAGTATATATACTGGTGACGACAGATTAGAGGAAACCCCGAACAAAATTATCAATCTACTATTTTCCTGTTATTTACTTTCCTGTTATTTTCTATTTTGTTTTCATGGCTGAGTTTTGACAACCCTAGAATTTAGTTAATCTTTGCCGTTTTGCGCTGAAAAACGGTCGTGCTTCTCCAAAAAACGAGAAGATTATCCTTTGCTAGTTTGCTCGGAAACTAGTCGTTCATCGTCACGTAAGTACGATATTTATCCTCTTTGCTAATTTGCTTGTAAATTAGTCGTGTGATTCCGCGAAAGTGAATTAATCTCGAAATCGGTTTCACTAGCCGATTTTGATCTATCGATTTTGGCGACTCTATTGTTTACACCGCAAATCATTAGGTGATATTGTGTTGGCCACAAAAAAACGTCAACACATAGCAAATTGGGTGTAGATAATTTTACATCTACTTATTGTACACATACTACTTTTATTCACTATTTCTATTACTGATGTGGAGATTTTTGGAGCCAGCGATCGGCTATACTATTAAACTTGCTCTTATTGAAACAGATAGTTTGGAGGTGGTGGGGATGCTAACACAGATTGGAGTAAACCGTTCTATCTATGGGACAATGATCCAAGACCTCAAGAACATGTTAAAGACGTACTTCCTGGGAAATGAAGGTCCAATGGGTGCAGCGATCGGCGAATAAAAGCTGCTCATTTGGTAGTCATGGATGCGTGACGGGCGAAACATCGAATTGGTTGTCGATTCCACCAGTCTTTATTGACCATATTTTAAAGGAAGAATGTAATTTTGATAGCTATATTTGGTAGTTCATTTTGTGAGGTCTTACCCTAAAATAAATTTTTCCGGAAGCAAATACATGACAAAAGGTCTCTGTCTTAGTGTATTACTCCCTACGTATTTCATATTATAAGCCGTTTGATTTTTTTTCCTAGTCAAACTTTGTTAAGTTTGACCAAGTTTATAAAAAATTCTAGCAACATTTAAATTATTAAATTAGTTTCATTAAATTAAAAATTTGATGTATTTTGATAATATATTTGTTTTGTGTTCAAAATACTACTCTATTTTTCTATAAACTTAGTCAAACTAAGAGAAGTTTGATTAGAAAAAAAGTTAAACAACTTATGATTTTTATTTTGTTTTTCCATGGTGCTTCCCATCCTCACACTTCGGCAGATCTCTGAGGAACGGGTGTCACATGAGATCTGTAACCAGATGGACTCTACAATGCTAGTGCATAATTATCAGTCATCACTTTGTGAATAGTCACCACTGACTCTTGATCAACTTTGCACTGCCCGCTGCTCTGTTTCATATCACTGAAAAAGTAGGTCAATCAGAAAAAAACATGTTACAAGATCAGATATACATAACTGGAGAATAGTTCTCCAGTTTGTTTCATCAAAAAAAAAAAAGGTGCACCACAAACTGAATTTTCTTACCATCACTCCTAGTGTCGGTGAGTTTCTTTTACCTAATGCTTCCCATCCCCATGCACATATACTTCCAGAAAACGAACAATGACGCTGCTGGGACAGTAGACAGAGTCTACAATGCTACCAATGTTCAGATCGATTCCCCTTCGTCATTGCCTTCTGTCCTCAGTTCTTTCTCCTGTTTCATTTTGGAAGTTATATTAAGGAAGATAGGGATCAGACACTGCAAGGGAAATGTGGTAGGTGTTCCATTGATGTTGGTGTTTGTTAGTAGCCGCTGCCATTGCATATGCCATTTTGCCTAAGATGAAACCAGGAAAGCAAAGATTTTGTAAATTAGCGTAAGAATTCAGATGTCCCCTCCTTCTAAGTGCACTGGTGGAGCTCGGAGGCAAACCGGATAAGATTTTACTCCCTCCGTCCCAGAATATAAGAACCTAGTATAGGATGGGACACATCGTAGTACTACGAATCTGGACTAACCCAGTCCAGATTCGTAGTAATAGGATGTGTCCCATCCGGTATTAGATTCTTATATTCTGGGACGGAGGTAGTAATTTATTGCCACCGATCACGGCGATTTTATCTTCTTTTCTTGTTAGGGAAGAAAACCAATGGAATTTAATCTCATCCCTTAATTTGTATAGGTAGTTCAATGATATGATCATCCCCTAAAATGTCATTTCATAGTTTTATAGAACAGATGTAAAGCAGATTCAGCCTGTGCTAGTTCACTCCCAAACTGCAGTTCACTAGAATATGTCCATATGCTTCTTTATTTAGGTTATACTCCAAAGTGATTTTGAATTTTGAAGTTTGATTTTTAAAGAATAGTTTTAGGTAAAATTCGTACTTCTTAGGGATCATGAAAAGAGAATAGGCTAACGAAAATGATAGAGAAATCCCTAAAATTAACCTTACAAATCAAATTCTAGCCATCAAAATCAGATTTGGATTAGCTCAGCCAAGCAGTTACACGTTCGCTCATTAGGGGCCTGTTCAAATTGTAGCCAAAATAAACCTTATCAAATTTTGGTATTGCCAAAATTTTAGTAAGAAGGTAATATTGCTAAAATTTTGGCAGGATTTCTTATGTATTTATCAAATTCAGCAACAAATTGAACGTAAACATTTTTTTTGGCAACTTTATAAAAAAATGGTATGGTTAAAAATGGCATCAAGGTGAACAGTTCCTAGGTCTTCGTGTAGTGATTACTAGGATTAAAGTTTGATTCACCGAGTTGGATCTTACCTATTAATTGTATGATATATTAGGATTAGGGAGGCCTGTTGTGTATGCCCCAGATATAATATAGATCATGAACTAATTAAGTGATATCAGCTTCTGTTCTACATATCATTCGGATGTTTTTGCAGTTTCTACTATATATTTGAGAATATCAAAATTTTTACTCAAAACAACGAAACTCCGATAGGAGATACATACATCTACAGTAGTTTTTATGCTTTCTCATGCATGCCAACCCTGCCATTTTCTGATACACAATTGTTCGGCTTGTTCTACTCCATGTATTAGTAAAACCAAACAATCAGATTAGCTCCTCTGAAACGGAGAGAACCACCCTGGTCTGCAATAAACTCAACTGTTCCAGACCTTGGGCCATGTCTGGACTCGGGTCCATCTACGGTTTCGTTGTCAGAGTACGGTTGAAGGCTTTGAAGCAAAGAAGCAGTAGGAGGCTTATGGAATGTTGTGCTGCGAAGTGCTGTATGAGTTCATTCTAATATGGTTCTCATACCTGAAAAATTAGACGAGTAAAATCAACAAAAGAGGGCACTGAACATACTAAAATTCAGCGTTTTGAAGGAAAACACAGCAAAAGTGTTTTAAAGAAAAGAGTTATTTCTATCATAAACATTTGTTCGCTGATCTATCTGACCAGTGAAATTCTAGAAGAAAAAAGATTTGGTTACTTACAATTTAGGCTACATGATTTGGATTTCTTGTTCTTGATGCCTCCAATTCTCATGGACACGTACAGGAGTTGAGGCAGCAAAACCGAAGGAAAAGTGCAGTCTATTTTCCAGTGCTACTTGCTATCTAGCTACTTCTAGAGTGTGTTTAGTTCACGCTAAAATTAAAAGTTTAGTTAAAATTGGAACGATGTGATAGAAAAATTGGAAGTTTGTGTGTGTAGGAAAGTTTTAATGTGATGGAAAAGTTGAAAGTTTAAAGAAAAAATTTGGAACTAAACTTGGCCCTAGTCATTTGTGCTATGCTATAAAACCTAGACCCAAACCAAATTGGTTTGGTCTGTCTTTTTTTTTTCTTTTCCTCGGCTAGTTATGATGCCCTAGGCTACATATATATACTCATTCTGTTATTTAATCACAATTAGTCCAAATAGAAATACGGTATCATGACTTTTCCCCTTCAAAACCACCATATTACTCCTCTAGTTTAGGCGCCAGAACTCATGAAGGAATAATGCCAAAATCACCAATTTAATGGAATCGTATCCTCTGTCATTCTAATTGGAATGGTAGAGAACTACAGTGGTCCATGCCATAAGCTATTTATAGCCGTTAGATCAAATTTGGATGGACAATATTAATTGCTACAGTACATTCCATTGTTTCTACGGTGATTTAACTGTTTGTGAACCCCAATTTAATACACAAGTAGTACACAGATAGATGCAATAAATAGGTAATCAATCATGTATGCAAATCCAACCAATCAAGCATTTTTGAAAAAAAAATGATATATTACAGTTTACTAATACGCCATCAGTAAAATGATGTTTTCACGTAACCATTTTTTTGTATTAGTTAAAAACGTGCTCCGTTTTACTCTTTTCCAACTCAATTTAGACGAGGAGAGGAACAGGGAGAAAATAAAAATGTCACGGGATTTCCTCGATAAACCACCATGTTCAGTGACATGCCTTAGCCTCAGTTTGCGAATAATCATCACTGTCTCCAAACCAGTGCTGGCTCCTCCATATTATATCCCTGAAAAAAAAAAGATACATTGGAGAGAACATGTTACAAGATCAGATGTACACAACTGGAGAGTAGTTTCCTAGTGTGTTTCATAACAAAATCATGCCATGTGCACCAAATTTCTCACCATCACTCTTGGCTTCTCTGGCCTTGTTTATGCTGATGCTTCCCATCCCCATGCACATTAGCACATATACTTTCAGAACCCAACACTTTGTGGGAAACTAGATATACTCTAAAATATGCTACCAATATTCAGATGGATTTATTGCCCAAAGTCACAATCGTTCTTTCATTTTTTTTCTATCCTTTGCCTTCTGTCTAGCTAGTGTCCACAGTTCTTTCTCATGTTTCATTTTGGAAGTTTATATAAGGAAGATGGTGATCAGACACTGCAAGGGAGATGTGCTAGAGTCTCTCGCTTTGTGAATAGCCAGCTCAGTTAATTTGGTAGTGCTGGCTGTTCTATTTCATATCCCTGAAAATGTAGATGTATGGGAAGAAACATGTAGTTCTCTACTTTGTTTGGTCAAAGAAATAGATGTGGAAAAAACTGAATTTCTGACCACTTGAACCTAAGTAATGCGTGTCACTGCATTAAGATGAATAAAGTTTGGTACAACCAAAAACAAAAAGGAGGCAGAACCCAGGAGGACATAAGCCTAATCTAGCGACATTAGGCAGCTAACCTAGCGACATTAAGCTGGCGTAAGCTGGAGCAGCGCGGCACCAGCTGCACTCCAGAGTGCCGCCTCTTCCGCCATTGATCTAGGCCTGTAGCATCCTGGTGCCAAGGGAGAAGGTTGTGATGTAGACATTGTTAATTAGTACTTCTTTCCTTCCAGATTGAGAAGACCCAGTACTGTGATGGTACGTGTAGAGAACTCTTCTAAGCTGTTTAGGCAGTTTTAATCTACTTTCACAGTGCCACAGGGGAGAGCTGAGGGAGGGGGAAAAGATGCTTCACCTCTTTGGTTGGTCCACACGTCTGTCCTTTTACGTCCTCCCACAATTTTTGCAGGTCGTGCCTAAAAAGTTGATTTTTACAAGCGGGGTCTTAATTAAGAGCCCTGCTTGCAAAAATAGAGGTATTTTCGTAAGTGGATCTACCAGCGAAAATAAAACCCAGTGTTATGAAAAATCATTTATTAAATAGTGAAGCTGCAGTGACATCCTTACAAGTCTTTTTTAGATTTTCCTCATGAACTCATTGGCTGCCACATGCAATCCAACAAAGTAACTCCACTCTTGTTAGTTCATGGAAATAAATTGTACCCACAACTTCTGTAAAGCTAGCGCCCACATATTGACTCTGATCTTTTCGGCTTCCCCGAATTGCTAAAGTCATCTATGGTTTTGCTGTGTCTAACTATTGTTGAAGAACCACTAGGATTATCTCCACTATGTTGACACATTATCTATTGGTACATTGTAGTTTGGTTCCCATACCTGAAAAATGATATATGTGAAGTCCACAAAATAGGACACTGAACAGATATATTAAAACTCAGTTGGTTTAAGGAAAACACACACACGAAATTTTGAAAGAGAAGAACTAATTTTATAATCATGTGTGTTAATCGATTTAGCAGCTAGCACGAAGTGAAATTCTAGAAGAAAAAATGTCGTAGAGATGATCACCTACGAACACAACTTCTACGTCTGCATTCCTTGCTCTCGATGTCTCTGATTCTCATGGACACACTAGTTCAGATAGCAAAACTAAAGAAAACATAGAATACATTTTCCAGAGCTACTACTCGCTATCTACTCCTACATCTCATTTTTGCTCTTCTTTAAACACAACTGATTCGATTTGTCTTTATTTTTTCTCTTCCTGGTTTCTATATATATATATATATATATATATATATATATATATATATATATATATATATATATATATATATATATATATATATATATATATATATATAGCACCGAGTTTGATTCAGTTATTTAATTGCAAATATCAGTTTTGCAATTATGGTCTTGTGGATCCATGACTTCCTTTTCTTTTCCAAAATAACCATATAATTCCTGTTGTAACCAAAACTCGTGAAAACAAACAGAATAATACCAAAATCATCAACGTAATAATGAGTAATACATACGTAGATGAAATAACTAGGCAATTATGTAGGCAAATAGCCAATCAAGCGTCTTTGTTTGCTTGCGACAAAAAAATCCCTCCGTTCCATATAAGTTGTTTTGAGTTTGTCCCAAGTCAAAGTTTTTAAGTTTGACCAAGTTTACAGAAAATATTTAGCAACATTTTCAACAAAAAAAATATTCGATGATGGAGTTAATGAAACTAATTTTGTATTGCAGGTGTAGGTTTTTTTTTTTACAAACTTGGTCAAAATTAAAAGAAGTTTGACTTCAAGACAACCCAAAACTTCTTATAATATGAAATGGAAGAAATACATACGATAGTTACAGTATAGTGGTATACAAACATGCCACTCAATTAGGGTTTCATCAGGTATTGTCGGTGCCTCTCAAAAGTTCTATTGAGCGTTCTTGGCATCTCTTCAATATCATTGTGTCATATGAATATTTCACCATGCATGTCTCTCATGCATGTTTCAACTACTTCCATGTTAGTCTTGTTCAAATTTCAGCAACCAAATGAACAAAAGTTAAAGCAAGCCGCCCTATGACAAGTCGATTTCCCATGAGTTATATATTGAGTCCACCTCAACACTTGGCAGAAAACATATACAATTCATCCGCAAAAAAAAAATCTATAAACTGGTTGACAAGTACACTTGATCTCTCAAATGAACCTACTCCAACCCCACACCACCTGCGCCTGCAGCCTGCTACTCTACTAGTACTTATCGATGCATGGTATATCTGGTTCTATCATCCTATAGAGAGAGATCACATTGCCATTGCCTTTCTTGCTTTGTGCAGTGCCTGCTTTGTCTCTTGTCAATTGTATCATATCCATCCGTTATGCGTTTTACTCTACTTCATATCCCTGAAAAAGTGTATCGGTGTATGTAAAATTATGAAGTCGTTCTAGTTTGTTCATAAAAATGTTATGGTACCTACTGAATTTCTGTAAGTAATAAACATTATAGGTATTGGGATGTCTTACATGGTATATGGGTGTTTCTCATTTTCTTTCTCCTGACGCTTCCCATCCTTACGCTTCTATAGATCTCTGAGAAATGGACAACTCATGAGACAAAAGATGGACTCTACAGTGCTAGAATTACTCTAGCATATATATACATTACCCGAATGAAAAAATTATTTTCATGAAACCACAAATGTACACTCCCTTCCACTATTTGCCTTTTATCTCTTGTTCATTCTTGACCTTTTCCGTTTCATTCGTATGTCTATGTATCAAAGATGGACACAGTGATGAAATAATAGGTTGGCGTGGCATTGATCCCCTTAATTATTTGGGAAAGTCATTTTACCCTTTAAAGGGGATGCCCCTTTTTTTTGCATGTCACTTTAATCATGAAAAATTCTTGAAAATTTGACAACTCAAATGGCTTAAGTAGAAATTCTCTCTTTCTTTTCATTGTTTGTCTTTTATCTTGTATTCGTTCTTCATCTGCTCATACATTGTGCGAGAGATGGCAAAACACACAACGAAGAACATGTTAGTGTGCCTTTGATCATCACACACATGTCTGGATTAACAATTAAAGCATCATGGCATGTATCACTGTTGAAGGGCATCGTCCAACCGACGCAAATAATGGATCTTTAGTTTACCCGTGCAGAAGCAGAAGAGCATACTCACGCCTCTTCTCCAACATCCTGAAGCATTCTGAGAAGTCACATATCTTTTGTTCATGGTACTCAAGCAAGAGCAACTAAAACAGCACAATGCTTCGTTCTCCACCTCTCCAGCCATGCATGTTCGTTCTGGTTTCTCTCACATACCTGAAAAAACCATTGTATATAACTCTATAAAAGAGGGTATTGAACACAACTGAATCTCAGCTTTCCCACAAGCGTTGCATATTACTTGGGCAGAAGTCTTGGTTGGGTACCCTTTTCCTGATACCTCCTATGCTCATGTGGACTAAATGGGAAAATGGAAGTGACTTCCGTATAACAATATGATGCTCCTAGAACAAGTATACTATAATATTCTCTTCACAAGTGATGTGTGTCTACTGTTTCTTCCTCTCTGCATTTGGAGGTTTGTATGACAAACATGCATAGGAAGATAATGTAAATCCTTATAGATGTAGGTGTTGTAATAAATCCTTGTAGATGTCCATCCACATAATTACTTGCTTCATTCATGCTTGCTCCATAATTTCTTTTCATGTATATATTATACTAATAAGTCAACAAGTTAAAGATCCGATAACGTAAGAGTCATGAAGAGGCCATCATAGATGTCAGTCTAACATATAAGTAGGTGTTATTACTCAAGTACCTGCGATAGCCTTTACTAAATACTACCAATATTATTATCAGTGGTAGAAGTGATTTAAGTCTTGAGTTATGAATTCTACTGCCAGTAGGTTAGGTGGAAGTATAAATAGATGTGATTTTTTTATGGTGGTCTTTATTGGTGGTATTCTACTAGCAATATTGTCACCAATAGAAGTAACCTTGACCATTGATTTATGAGTTCCACTACCAGCAAAAGAAATATTCTACTGCAAATAGTTGAGGTAGTAATAGAAATAGATCTGATCCTTAGATTAGAAAATATGAGGGCTCTAGATTAATTCTACTAACAAAAACCATTGTAAAGCACCTTTAGCTTACATGATACATGCGTGCATGCTAGTTTTATCTTCAGAGTTTCATCAGGTGTATTGTCAGTATCTCTAAAAGTTTCATTGATCATTCGTGGCATATCATAAGTATAACCATGTCAAATGAATGTTTCACCAAGTTGTCATGAATGCTTTATCAGGCCTCTGCAAAGTTCAGCAAGTTTTATAAATTTTCTGCAACAAATCAATGAAATTCGAATCATGATGATTTCCCCTAAGCTATATATTGAAAACACCTCGATGCATAAAAAAACTACAGCCCATTCAACAAAACAAAACCCCAAACAACCAGACTTTATTGTATCAATGATGCACTTGTTGGCATTGGCATGCAGCAGCTCTCATGGCTGCCTACTGCTCCGCCACCATACCAGCGACATCTTCAGCCTGCTACTATTACCAATCGTTGGTGCATGATGTTTCTGATTATCTCATTCTGTACAATGATCTTTTCTTCAAATTTTTTTTACAATGATCACATTCTCCTTGCCTAGCACGCTCGCTTGACACAACAGTTGTTTTGTCTCATGTCCATTCAACTAGATCCTTCCGAGTGTTATACTATGTTTCAATCATATCCCTGAAAATGTGGATGTGCTTAGAGAGAACCTGTTACAAAGATGTAATACTCTGAAGTCTTTCTCTTGTTTTTGTTCATCAAAAGTTGTTATGGGACATACTAATTTGTCTTGTAACATATACTATAGGTATAATAAGTAACATATACATATACTATAGGTATATGTGTTACTTCTTCTATGGGTACCTCTGGATTTCTTTCTCCTGATGCTTCCCATCCTCAAGCTCAGATATCTCTTGAGAAATGGACATCTCATGAGATGCAAGATAAACTCTCCAATGCTAGCATCTATGTTATTCGTGAGATAACAAATGCTCACTTTTCCTTTATTATTTGGTTTTTATCTCGTGTTCGCTCTCCATTTGTTATCTACAACTTGATGTTTATGTATCAAAGATGAGGAGACACAACAATGAAGAACAGGTTGGTGTTGCATTGATCATCATTCATCAGATTAAAGTGTAAGACAAGTAGAGGGTCACTGCTGAAGGTCCTCAGCCAAGTATCAATATATGTATAGGGAACGTCTTCAACAAGTGGAACCGCTCATTTTCATTGCTTTTCTTCAACATAGGATTCAGGAGTCACATATCTGCTCTATAAAATGACTAAAGTAGTAGGTGCTAAAATAGTTGCAACACTTCATTCTCAATAAGTTCATCCTAGTTTCTCTCGAATACCTGAGAAAAGTTATACACGACGTAATTCTACTAAAAAGAGGGATTTGTTTGCTTGTGTGGAAGGTTAGCCTGCCTGTGTTTTTCGCAATACCTCCTATACCCATGTTGGACGAAATGTGAGAATGGAATGACATAGGATGCTAGTATACTAGTATGCTTTCTTCATATGCGATGTGTGTCCTACTGTCCTATATTCTCTATACCATTCCCTGCATTATGCATTTGGAGGTTTATGTGACAAACATGCGTAGGAAGATGAGTAGTTACAAGTGGTAGGTGCTATAAAAATAAACCCTGATAGATGTCATCCAGTTACTTTCCTCATGATTGCTCCATTTTTTTTCATTTGCATTACTCCAAGAGGAGGCCCTTATAGATGTCAGTCTCATAGACAAGTAGTACTAGGTTATATTACTCAGGATGATAGTAGGAGCAGGGTAGAAGTAGGTGCTATGATTTCTTGTTGATGTAAATATCGAATCTACACGCACACAGGGAATTGCAATTTTAGTTCAAAATTTCTGAAATTTTGGTAATCAATATATTAACTGAAATTTTCGTATTTTATCAATTTTTTGTTGAATTTGGTCAAAGTTTATTCAACTCCAGTAAAAATTTGTTAGAATTTCAAAAAAAAATCAGTCCAAAAAGTACCGAAAATCACGAAATTTCATAAATTTTGGTCTTACCGAAATTTTCGACAAATCGAAATTGAAAACCCTGCATGCACACTTGCACAGCAAATTGAGAAAGAACAATATATCGTCATTGTATTAGGGGATAAGAACTAAGTCTAAACAGAATCACAGCCTTGCTACATCCAGCAGGAAGTCCATTGGCAGTCCAGTTACATGCTTATTCTCATAATAAGCATTCGTTGATGGGAAAAAAAATGGAGAGAATGGGTAACATTAACCATCTCTGTCCTACAGAGCATTACTTCAATCTCACTTCGTGGGTACGTTTTACTCTGTTTCTTTCATATCCCTGAAAATGTGGATGCACAGAGATAACTTATTCTAAGGATGTACAATTCTGAAGTTGGTCTCTACTTTGTTCATAAAAAAGTTTGTTTTCAGATATAATGGATTTCTGAGAGTAAAAAAAACACGGTATTTCTCTTACTTATCATTTCGATCTCTCAATCTCTTTCTCCTGATGCTTAACATCCTCGCGCTCTAAGAGATAGCTGAGAAATGGACATCTCATGACCAAACAAGATGGGCTCTCCAATGCTAGCGTATATATTAATCGGATGGCTTTCACAGAAGCAAAAACATTTTATTTCCTTTCATCTTTTGTCTTTCTATCTTTTGCTGGTTCTTCATCTATTCTATACATCTAGATAATTATGCACCGAATATTTGAAGATCGATGCAGCAATGAAGATCAGGTTGGTGTGTGTCAATCTGTCATTGATCATCTGACACACAAAACCTACGTAGGGCTGAAGGACCTTGCAAACCTATGTAAGCGGAAAATGATCTTTAGCTGCAGGGAAGTGTATCCGTGCCGTTCTTCTTCAAGATGCGAGGAGTCACATAACTTCAATCCTCATAGGTAGAAGAGCCGCAACACTCCATTCTCCCCATGTTTGTTCTTCTAGTTTATCTCGCACACCTGAAAAGACATTATATATAAGTAATGTAACTCTATGAAAGAGGGTATTGAACCAGCTTGCTAAAGTTCAGCCTTAGTTATTTGTTACAGCAAGAAACACAAGATTTTCAGAGATAAGGACTAATATCATAAGCACTGCTTACTTTATTGGAAGAACGGTTTGGCTACGCTTATCCTGATACCTCCTATTCCCATTTGGACTAAAGAGGAAGAACGGAAGTGACAGACGCTAGTGGCTAGTCTCAACGGTTTACGCCAATTTTCATACACTAATGTTAGGAAGATGAGTAGTGAAAGGTCGGTGTTATAAAGATCCTCACAGATGTGCAATAGCGATTTTCTTCATGCTAGCTCCTTTTTTTTCATACTAGTAGTGATAACGTGAGAACAATGAAGAGGCCATTATCGATGTCAGTCCTAGACAATTATGTTGTCTTACTCAGGATTATAGTAGCAGAGTAGAAGTAGGCGCTGTAATTGCTTGCTAATGTAAATGGTTACTGCCCAATGTAGATGCACAGCAAGCTGACTAAAGAACCATGGTGGAAAATGGAAATGATCAATTAATTTCTAGAACCATGGTTACTGCCCAATGTAGGCTTGTTGCTGCTACACCCACCAAGCAATAGCAATGGAGATTTCTTTTTCCTGATGCTTCCTATCCTCACACTCTTCAAGGATCTAAGAAATGGAGATCGCGTGAGACACAAGATGGACTCTCCAATGCTAGCATATAGTATGTTATTTTGGATGGCTTTCCCAATTCACAAATGCTCCCGCTCCCATCATTTGCCTTTTACCAGTTTATTATTCTCCATTGCTGTAATTTGTATTCTTCTGCATTCAAGGAATCTACACTTCATTCTCGCCATGTTCATTCTAGGGTCCTGTTTGGTTCCATGAGCTAATTATTAGCCCCCACCTTTTAGCTCTGAATTAGCCCTCAAGGATCCAAACAGGTGGTTTAATTTGGGGGTAGAGTGAATTAGCCCCTCTCAGAACATTAGCCCCTCTAAGGGGTGCTAATGGGGCTAATTTTCTGTGGAGACCATCAAAAAGCAGCCCTATCTCTCCCTCTCTCTCCTCTCTTTCTACTCTTTCTCCACCTTTTAGCCTTAAATTAGCTCATGGATCCAAACATATCATCTTAGGCTAATATTTAGCCTACCAATTCATGACTAAACATTAGTTCTCAAAATTAGCCATGGGCAATCTTCCAAACAGGGCCTAGTTCCTCTCGCATACCTGAAAAAGCATCATATGCACAAAAGACGGATTCGGACACAACTAAAATTCAGGTTTAGTTATTTGTTATATAAAGAGAGAAGATTTTTCATGACTAGAACTAATATCATAGCACGGCTAACTTGTGCAGAAGGTTCGCCTGATAACACTGTTCCTGATACCTCTCATACCTATGTAGACTTATTATATATGCAGTACTCTTTTTTTTTCCTTATATGTGATGTGTGTCCTCTGGCCAATATTATTGTTTCATCTGTTCTGCATTTGGAGGTTTATATGACAACATGCATAGGAAGAAGAGTAGTGACAAGAGGTAGGTGCTACAAAGATCCTCATAGATGTTCATGTTCGCCAGCTACTTTCTTCCTGCTTACTCCACTTTTTACTTTTTTCATGCAATTTACCCTAATATGTAAAAAAAAAAAAGGAAGTAATAATGTGAGAATCATGACGAGGCCCTTATAGATGTCATAGTCTCACAGGATGATAATAGCAGAGTAGAAGTAGGTGCTGTAATTGCTTGCCGATGTAAATAGTTAACGTCCAATGTGGATGCACAGCAAGCTGAGTAAAGAACCATGGTGGAATGATCAGTTTTTTTAGAGGCCTTCATGAATGCAGTACTGTAAAAAATTCATGGCCATTTTATGGCTCATTCTACACTGCACAATATATCAGCAGTGAACTTATCATTTCAGTTCCAATACAAGCATGTCCAAGAAACTGCATACCCATAGTTCATACATCACGCGATAGGCATCCGCTTCGAATATCAAATGGTTCATGAGAATCTAGACACAATAGATTATATGCATATCAACGCCTTAACACCAGAGGCTCGCAGATGCTTCCCTCTTCAGGCAGCAGCGACCGCTGGAGGAGGCAACAGGGTTATCTCAACATTGTCATGAGCCCCCTGTAGAAGCAGCTCACCATCATACTTAACAATTTTTCTCTTCTTGGCAGCCCGCAAGGTGCCGACTAGTGCTTCAAATATGTTTGCACAACGGTCATCGTTGAAGATAACACCGAAAGTTACCTGCAGATCACAATATTTAAGTAAGGTGAACCAGTATGATTTGCATAAGCTCAGTAATTCAGAAATTCATAAGGCGTAGGATAGCTATGCCAAAAACGTTTCCAAGGTTAAGTTTATGCGCTCTGCTGCTCCTACTCCTACAGATGTGATGGTCAGCAACTCGGATAGGAACTTACTAAAAAATCAGCCATTTCTTTTACTAGTTTTGATTGTTATTTGTTGCATTACCCTATGCTATTTCAGTATGTGAATCATGCAAAACCAGGCTAGTATTTCATAAATTGTTTAACTTGGATGATTCAGAAAAAATAGAAACAATCCCTGAACTATGATACCCATCTGTTCAAATTGAACCCTGCTTCACACATTCATAATGCCTTGAACAATTAACATTTACGACTGAATCCAAAAGTGAGTGTTATACAGTGTATCAAAAATTAATTGTAATGTAGCGTATAATGATTAAAAATTAATACAAAAACCATCATACATGAGTCTGGATCAAGGAATAAGTCCTGTCCATGAAGATATAGAAAAAAAATGTTTTTTTCAAGTGAAATTGACAGGAATTGTTTTGATGAAGAACAGAACAATTAACAGGGAGGAGTAGGATATATTTAACTCATAGGATAAATTGACAAAGCAACACATCTTGCGTATATAGGTAGACGAATGCCAGGGATAGCTGGAGTTGTCGATTCAATGGAAAAAGAGCTTGGAGAAAATGGGAGAATAATTAGGAAGTACTCAAGGGAGTAAAGTGCCTAAAAATGGTCAAAACTATCACTTGCAAAGCTTTCGTTGGTTGTACCTAACATAAAAATAAAGAGGAAAAAGAGAAGGAATGAGACAATTAACAAGGTAAAAGCTGTAACCACCAAAGAGGAAAATGAAAGTCTGATCAAAATGATAAGGACCAGTTGGTCATCACACTGTTTATAGAACACACAACTAAGAAACAAAATTTGTGATTCAAAATTACAATATGAGATGATGATTGGAAATTGTAGGCTGCATCAGAAGAAAAGACGGATAATGGCATCACCACATACTTGTTGTATGATATGATTATACATTTACATGAGTATATGTCGTAATGGAACAATGATGGCAGAAAATAAAATAGAATGCACATGTAGTGTTCTTTTTTTCAAGAAGCATATACATCAAGAATTCTGGGAAAAAAAATATATACACAATTCTAGTTCTTACTTGTTGGTCCTTTATTGTTTCCCATTTCTTTCAACTGCCTGACAGTCACAGTGGGCATCTTTCTCGTCACTAGGACGTTGGACATATACAACAAACGATATCTAACATATAAAATGCAATTTCACAGGCTTGGGGGCATATGAACATTACAAAATACCAAATCAAGCTCAAAATTTTCAATCACGAATTCAAGATCATCAATAGCATCACTGATCCCTCTATTTTGTTTCATGACCAGCTACGCACTAACTAGGGATCTTCAATGTACACACCAGCAGATAAAAGCTCTCTTCCTCTGAACAATGCATCGCCAATTTTCCATAGAGACACATACCAGCATTACCAATAATGGTCACCTAGAAATCCATTTTTTTTGGGCAATGGACACAAATAGACCAGGCCATGATTTCTGGAGGAATCTCATGTCGGTGAGATTGGAAAAGCGCACACGATGACACCCAAGCTGCACAATGGCGTATGAATCGCGAAGAGGAAAGCAATTCTAACTCGAGGGATCACCGAAAATGCGGGGCCCTTGCTGCAGGCGCCAGATCTGGTGCTCGTTTCGGAGGAGAGGAGAGGAGATGAGAAAAAAGTGATTTACCTTGTAGGATCCATCGGGCTGCTTCTGGCCGAGCCTCTGGATCTCCTCCTTGAGCTTCCCCACCTCCTCCTCCACGTTCATGGCGTCCCCCCTGTTCTTCGCCTCTCTCCGCTTTTGAGTTCTTTGATATTTTTGGGTGCGGAGGAGAAGCAGAGCAGGTCGAGGAAGAAACAAAATCGGGGAGAGATGAAAGAGCAGTTGAAGTGGCTCCAACCGTCGCGTCCGTGGAGCGTGGGCCGTCCGATCGGAAGATGAACGGGTGAGATGGACGTAACCTGCCGCGCTAGATTTCCTGGTCGCTGCATCACACTGAGACGTTTTCACATCTCGCCAGTGCATATTTTGGTTGATTTGGTTTCAATTTTTTGAATTTAATAATGTAATTTTAGAAAATATTCTATTCGAGTCCACACCATAGTCACGTAAAACGGAATCAGTGGTAGCGTTCCTCGACCCAAGAACGTTATACCCGTCAGGCCGTCACGGAAACACGGGGTTATTTTCGTCCCACCTTATAAAACCCTCTCACAAATAGCGTACCACGTTCCTCAGTCCAGTTCCTCGATCCCATCGACCTAGAAACTTTGTTACTATAATCCATACCATCCAAATACATAAAACCAATTATGGTCACATTTTCCATCTTCTTCCCCTTTTTTTTCCTTCTTCTCCCCTCTCTCCCTTCCCCTCATGTTGCTCAGCCACGACAGCGATGCCAACCTTCATCGCCACCCCACATCTCCAACCTCTCATCGACCCAAAAACTTTGTTACCATGATCCATACCATCTAAATACATAAAGCCAATTATGGTCACATTTTCCATCTTCTTCCCAATTCTTTTTTCTTCTTCTCCCCTCTCTCCCTTCCCCTCATGTTGGTCTGCCACGGCAACGGTGCCAACCTCCATCGCCACCCCCACATCTCCAACCTCTCTCTCTCTCCTGTGGAGCAGATGACGATAGTGCTTGCCAACTCAGGCGATACTAGGTGCCTCATGCACATAGCTCTGTCCGCCAATTTTGATGGTAGCCCCAAGGAAACGGTCTTGAGTCGCCAAATCTCCGGCGCCGGGCTTGGGTCTCTCATCCTCCCACCGGCAGTCGTGAAGACGACGACACGATGAGGACGAGTGGAACTTGTGAAGACGAGGAGGGTGTCAACCTAGATCTGGCGAGAACCGTCTTCTTCGGCACCGGGAGCAAGCGGGGCCATTGGGAGGAGCTTGGGACGGGTGGCAGCTTAGCGGCGAGCTCGAGTGGGGGCACATCGAGTTTCCTCCTTCCTTCTCGAACCAAGGTGAATAGTACCAACGCTTCACCGGTGCGTTGGACACCACTTCTCCATTCGCCTCCCTCATCGTGTCCTACTCGCCTCCTGACACTTTTGGTTCAGCGAGGTGGAGAGAGATATGAAGAAAGAAGAGTGATGGATAGAGAAAGAAGATGGAACTGACATGCGGGTCTCACGTCTAGCGTATTTTGGTCTATATGATAGAAAACGTAACGTCGATAGCATGGTTGTTATTTTGTACGTATTCGTATAGCATGGATACGAATATATGAATTGTAATTATATTTTTTTAAATAGTAATGGTATGTATCGAGAAAACGTCTAGAGGTGTTTCAGCTAGCTCCACATGATGATGAGCTAGCCGACTTGAATTCGAAGCCTCACTCGTATAATCATTTGATATTAGCTCATTCTCTAATATTCACATCGTAGTGGTATGTATCCAATAAATTTTTTAAATCGGTTTTGTTTAGCATATTCGAAAGTAAAGCCAGCTGCAGGTTGTTTTAAGATAAGATTAGCACACACACTAATCCAATTCCAACCCAATCAGGTCGCTCCAAACTAATCCACCTCACCTCGTCCTCGTCGTCTTCTTCTCCCCACGCTTGCGGCATCTACGCTTCTCACGCGGACTACCCCCGCCTGCCTAACAGTCACTGACACGTGGGCTCCAGCATTACCTGTCCCCACATGTCAGTGACCTCACCCTAGAAACCCGGGAGGCCAGCGTGGGGCCCACGTCGTCGCCGTGGCAGCTAAACACAACTCGCACCCGTGCGTGTCCCGCTCTCCCACTCCCACCCACCGCCCAGCCGACGCGACGGCGACGGCGACGGCGACGGCGACGGCGAGAGCGCGGGGGGAGATGGCGGCGGCGGCGAGGGAGGGGGAGGGGGAGGTGCGGAGGGACATGTGGGGGCAGGAGTACCGGACGGCGTCGGGGGGCTGCGCGGCGGCGCTGGACGAGCACTACGCGCACACCATGAGCTTCGGCCGGGGCCGTGGCCACGCCGTGCTCCGCGCCGCCGCCGCCGACCCGCGGTGCGCGCTCGCCTCCTCCCTCGCCGCGCACCACGTCGCCCCGCGGGACCCCGCCCGGGCCGCCGCCTTCCTCGCCGCCGCCGCCGACAACCTCGTAAGCGTCGTCGCCCCTCACGTTGTCGCTCGCCGCCTTAATTTTTTCCCCCCTCCTCGAATCCTCCATTTACTCGGTGAGCTTGCGCTTTCGTGTTGCTCTAAACTTCCACCAGGGTGCAGCGACGGAGTACGAGAGGGCGGTGTTCCGCGCGCTGTCGGCGCTGATCGGGGAGGAGAGGGACGAGCAGGTGGCGATCGAGCGGCACTTCGAGGTTTGGGGGTAGCTTGTCTCCATTTTTTGTAAATTGAGAGTATGTGCTGCTGGATAAATTGATTAATGGCAAGAATTGATTGGTGGTGTGTGCTTTACATGTGGCAGTTGCTGAAGGAATTCCCCAGGGATCTCATGTCTCTAAAGAGAGCTCAGCTCATCTGCTTCTACATGGGACGCCCTGATACATCGCTCAAATTTGTTGAACAGGTAAGTTCACTACAAAGGCTCGTGTATGTTTATATGCTTACAAAGTGGAAATATCGTATATAACTAATGAAACCGAAGTTGAATCTAACACTGTTTGTTATTATTTAAAGGAACACCCATGGTAGCAACTTTATTGAATCATCACTTCAAAACTTTGGATAAAAATAAAATATTTTACAACAGTTGATCAAAAAAGCATCACTTTTAGTGCTGGGATTTTGTGTGCATGCGCGTGTGTGTGGAATAGAAGAATGCAGGATTTTCTGGATGTGCTTCAAAACACTTCCTCTTATCAATGTACCATAGTTCTAGGTACTATTCTTTTCATTAGCTTTGTTGTACTCATTCTTGATCAGGTTTTGCCAGAGAATCAAGACCAGAACTACATTTACGGCATGCTTGCTTTCCCATTACTAGAACTTGGAAGGATGGATGACGCTGAAAAAGCTGCTCGGAAAGGCTTGGCCATAAACAAGAACGACTGCTGGTCACAGCATAATGTATGCGGGTGGTTTTGACATAATTTTGTTATTTTAAGAAGTTTATCGGCATAACAGATTGTGTTATGCATTTATACCTAATCGTTCATATTCTACCGACAAACTTCTTTAATACAAGCTTCATCTGCCATTCCATCTTGCAGCTGTGCCATGTTTTCCAGCAGGAATGCCATTTCAAAGAAGCTACTGAGTTCATGAAATCGTGTTCTCCATCATGGGCAGCATGCTCATCGTTTATGTATACAATTTTCCACATGATGCTCTCTCGTTTGATGCTAGTAATAACTAATAACCACAGAAATAGTTCTTACAAAATCATTTTCTTCTTTCTGTAGGCTAACCCACAACTGGTGGCATGTTGCTGTTTGTTACTTGGAAGGTGAATTCCCTACAAGTAAAGTTCTGGAGATATACGATCATAACTTCATGACAGAGCTTGAGAAAAGTGATTGTGAGGCAGCAGAGGTATTAATGCTGGCCATTTTTCCTGTACATCAATGTTTTAGAGACACTGAGTAATTTCTCATGCATCAGGTGTACCTTAATGCACTAGGGCTGCTACTCCGTTTGCATATTCGTGGTCAGGTTGATCTGGCCAAAGATAGATTGGCAGCATTGCTAGATGCACTTACGAATGAGGTACTGTCTCAGCTTCAATAATTTCAAATATATTCGTAAAAACTGTTCAGATTTAAGCTTCAATAATTTCAAATATATTCATAAAAACTGTTCAGATTTAAGTAAGCTGTATACTGCTGACTGCCAAGAGCATTTTACAGGTCTGAACTAAAGCTGTGCAGGACTCATTTTTCTGACTATTTCGATTTGAACTTTGTACTTTGTTCAGAAAATATGGCATGTGGAATGGCTCCTTGATCTACTTGTATTATGGGCACTGTCAAGTATGGGTGAGATTACAAGAGCAGACAACTTGTTGGAATCACTTAGGTCAAGGTCAGATACATTAAACTTTTCTTCAGGGAACACAAGACTCTGCTATTAATACTAGTCAATAATGCTAGAATAACCCATTAACCTTGCAGAGTTAGTTCGATGGACACAAAAAAACAGCAAGTGATGCAAAAGGCAATCCAGGTATGCTGAATTCTGTTTGCAAGATTAAGTACCAAGACACAAGCAATATATAACTCATGCACAATGAAAAGTGTGGACTATCATTTGTCTAGTGTTTCTGAAAAATGAACACCATTCACTTCTGATGCCTCAATATCATTACATTGTATGTTTTTGTGGCATTACTATTACCTGCTAACTAATTTTAAGATATGTTTGCTTTCCTGTAGCTATTAGTTTGTAATTTATTTAACTTTTTACATGCATGCCTACTGTACTGTTGAGGAGTATTTTGAAAGATAAAATTGCATATTTATTCTATAAAAGATACTATATTTTTGCTGTTATTTAATTCTTTCCTTGGCACAGCTAGCAGAGGCTGTGTATGAATATGGAAAAGGAGAGCACAAGAAAGTCTTTGACATCTTGGGTCCAGATTTCGATGCACTCAGTTGTAAAGTATGATTAACAAACCTGTTTTCGTTCAAGACAAGTAGTTATCGTATTTGTTTTCTTTTACTGAACATCAACATACGTACAAGTAGATGATTGGGGCATCAGATGAGCAAGTGGATGTCTTCAATGAAGTTTGGTACACTGTGCTAATAAATACCGGAGAGAGTTCCAGAGGTATTTGCCTATTTGTTCTTCATCATTAGAAAACTAAATTACTGTTTTGTCGCTCCTTAAGGAGCTAATGCAATTTGGATTGTACACAGCAATTGAGGTGCTCGAGAAACAAATTAGGAAACGAGAGGGTGCACCCTTCTTGTGGCGCTTGCTGGTAAGTATTTACTATTTATCCATTTTGCATTTTCTTCTCGCTAATGTTTCTTAACTGACTTGTTAAAGATCCGAAACATTAACTCCAATAATCTTTAAAATATCTTGTCATGACACGTAATGTTGGTTGCTATAGATCGATGGTTGCCTGAACATAGCATTTTGACAACAATCTACTAGTACTTTCAGATAAGTTGGTGGCTGTGCTATAGGCAAAATAGAAATATTTGCGTCAACTTTGTATCATCTGTAGAGACTGCTGGCATTCATCTTTGCATATAAGCAGAATGCTACAAGGCATTTGAGATTAATACGTGTTTCTGTCTAGTATCAACACATCAACTGATATCTCCATGCCAAATGTAACATGTGAACTAAGGAATGACCTTCGGTGCAATCTTGGCCTAACCTTGGACTTCTTGCAAACTTATTTTATCGGCCAGACCAATTAGTACCATTCTGATATTCATCCCAGGCCCTATTCTGAATACAACTACCCTCAGGGTTTGTGGCTTTAAAAAGGTCAAGCCAATTCAGTTGTTGCTTGGTAATCCGTAATCATACAGAAGACACTAGTGAGGTACACATATTTCCATTGTATTTCTAATAGGATTTAGTTGTTTTCTCTCTACCAGGAGAAGGCATACTCATTGCATGGCAGAGCTGCAGATGCTTCAGTCGCATCCGAAAAGGCAAATGCTCTACAGGCTGCTTATTCTCGTTAATTTCGAGTTATGAAATACAGTATACCAATATGCTTACATGCCCTATAGAGTGCACATTCGCTGTTTGACATAATAAGTGGCCGCGAACCAATTTATATATGATTTGATGGGACCCTTACGAGTTACTCCCTCCGTCTCAAAAAAAGACAAATATTGGGTTTCCGTGTCCAACGTTTAACCGTCCGTCTTATTTAAAAAAATTATGAAAAAAATTAGAAAGACAAGTCACATAAAGTATTATCATGTTTTATCATCTAACAATAATGAAAATACTAATTATAAAAAAATTTCATATAAGATGAACAGTTAAACGTTAGACACGGAAATTCAGGTTTATCATTTTTTAGGACAGAGGGAGTACGACCGGACCAATGAGCAAATATGTTGTTTTTTCACTCTTGTTCTATCTGATGCTACGAGGAAATTGTGCCCAGCGTTCCCTGCACTGCTGTCGTCTGACAGCATTGGATATGACAAAGGAATGGATGGCAGCTACTCCCTCCGTTTCATATGCTTTAACTGAAATGGTCGATTTTTTTTTAAGTTTGACAAAAATATAAACATTTTAAACACAAAACAATCATATTATCAATATATATTAAATGTTTGTTTTAGTTAAACTAATTTGATGTTATAGATGTTAGATATTTCTATAAACTTGATCAAACTTTAAAAAGTTTAACTAGGAAAAAATCAAAGCAACTTATAATATGAAATGGAGGAAGTTGTAATTTGGTGAAATCATGGATTTTCACTCCACAAAACTGTGTGTACAAGTTCTACGAGATTTTGAAAATACTACCACAAGCAGGGAAGTACCTTGTACTACCATGCAAAATTTCAAGAGCAAAGGATTAAAAAGTGGTTGGGCCCACGTGTCATATCTTCTCTCATCCTCTATTGCCCTCTTCTCCCGAGCTCGAATGGCAGATGTGGCAGTGGCAATGAGGAGGCTGCTGTTGTGGGGAAGAAAAAGAGAGATGAGGGAGGGGACCGAATTAAATTTGAAACTATACTGTTTATTCAATTTTTTGCTAGAAATATTCGGGATGCAAAATCTTTTACAAAAATATACCATCGGTTTCGCACAACAATTGCGCGAAAATGACATGAAAATAACGTCGCGACCGGTATCGCACAATGAAAATGCGAGACCGCACGGTCTCGCTCAAGCAAACAGCGATACCGTGCCTTGCCGATTTAATTAGCGGTTAATTATGATAATTAATCACTAATTATTATTAGTTAATTGTTAATTAATTACTTAATCACTAATCAAATGGATCCCATTGGACAATATCGCTGATGGCTTCTGCGAGACCGTTCGGTCTCGCTCTTCCATCCCACGAGACGGTCTCGCGCTGTTGCCGCACGAGACCGTGCGGTCTCACGCTTTCGCCGCGCGATACCGTCCGCGACGTCATCCCCACGTCATTTTTGCGCAACTGAAGTGCGACACCGATGGCATATTTCTACACAAGTTTTTGCATCCCGAATATTCCTGAAAAAAAGTGAATGAACAGTATATTTTCAAATTTAGGGACCATGACGGAGCTAGGCTGGTGGCTACTGGCCATGGCTCTCTTCTTTGGTGGCGGTGGCTGCGGCTACTTCCGGTAGGGTGTGGCGGGTCTCGGCGATGGTGGCGATGGTGACGGCGGCAAGGTCACGAGGCAGCTGTGGAATTTAATGTTCAAAATTTGATACTGTTGGCATATTTTATGGATCATGTGTGGCCATGTTTGTGAAAAAGACCAGCATAACATCTAATTAAACAACCCACATGGCACACATTGATATATTTTGAACACACGAAGTGAAATTCACGATCAGGGTTCACAATATTGATATTGGATCAAAACTGCTCCCCAGCGGTATCTTCGGATTTTATGGGAAACCATCTATTAAACCGATAAAATCCTAACAAATCTTGTAAAAAAATAAAAATCAACTTGACCGAAAAATTGAGTGGTTTATGTAGTCCATGTTTGGTTTCAATCGGTTCTGTAAACACCGTTTGTGACTTGCTTTGCAATTTTACAAAATAAGTAAATAAATAATACTCCTTATTCTTTGTGTCGTCTGTTACATAGATTGAAAATAAGTCTCTTTCGCATCCCTGAACTTCGTGCTGGACCGTGCTGGCCCAGCTTGCCGAGGTAGTAGCCCAGGCACAGCACAGCTATCGGGCCGGGCCAGCATGGGTACAACCCGACTCCCGAGTCGAACCGTGTTGTGCCTGGGACGGGCCAAATCACCGGGCCTTGGGTCAGGCCGTCGGACCTCGGGCCATATGGCCATTTATACTTGAAGGTTCTGTTCTTTGTTATTTTTATTTATAGTTTGCATACACTTGTGGTACCGCATCCTTTAGGCTACGGTCGTGCACTCAACCCAGTCCAGGTCAGTCTTCTCTCTATTCTTCAATCTGCATCCTTATTTTGCATTTGGTAGCAGTTAGTCTATTAGAAAAGACGAGCAGTCCTTTAAAATCATTTAACTCCAGTCTAGTAAGTCCACTCCAACCTCAGGTGCTGTCCTCTCTTTCGCTGTTCATGCCCAGCTAATCTGGAAATGCTCCAAACTTCTGATTCCCCAACTCTAGGTCAGGTCTTCAGTTCTTCACCTTGCACTGTGTAATATTGAGTCGATTAGGATTTTGCTAATCTGGATTTTAGTTTGTTTTAGTCTAATGGATTACTGGACGAAGATAAGCAGAGCATTGCAATCGTTTTGTCAAGTTCGGTACAATGAATTCACCCTATAAATAGTAGGAGCCAGAGCTAGTATATTAGTAATTAGCAAAATAATTTGTTGTATTGTGCTTGGTTCGAATGTCTTTGTTATGGGCTCTAGGTTTCTCACACCAATTGAATGAATTAGATCTAAAAATTAGGGATGTTGTTAGAGGAGGGCACAACTGGTTGTGCATGCAATTTTATGGTTGAAAAGGCACAATTGGTTGGATAGGAGTACACTGATGCTAAGAATAACCTATGGTTGAAAACTATGGTATTGAATGCTAAAGGATAATGCGTTGTGGAGTTAAAATTTCCACTAAATTCTGTATTTTTAATTACATAGAATTATAATAGATCATCTGCGTACCGGTGAGCCAGGGCGGCCGCCCGGCGATGGATCCACTAGTGAGTAGACATGGATAGTTTTAGCCTTTATGTTTAAGCCCTACTAGGCTTGAAGAGATCCTGGCCCACCACTGATCATAGATCTTCGCCCATATCTGCTTCAAACGAGTACGGATCCTTAGTGTAGAAGATGTGCCGGTCAACCTTATCCTCCGTTGATCTCTTCCCATATGCCTTCAGTAGCTGGACGTGCTGGATCTTTTCCCACTCATAGCTGCCATCTTGCAAGGATATGAGTTTAAGCAATCTTAGACTGCAGTACACGTCCAGCTTATTTAGCTCTGTCTCTCGTAGGTACTCTGGGAGGGCATCAGCATCCAAATCCTTCCAAATGACGCTCCTAAGTGATTGCAAATCCTTCACTACCTTCAGCCCTGGGCATCTGATAACGACGATATGTCGCAGTCTTGGACTGTTGGAGATCCTCTGCAGCTTCGGGTTGTCAGCTGACGTGAGCTCCACAAGTGACGGGAAGTTCTCTACGGAGATCAGGTGCGGCGCATTTCTGAGATTCAGCACCCTTAGTGCGGTTGCATGGTGCACAAGTCCAAGCGGAAGATAACGTAGTTTACAACCGGTGATGGTAACAACGTCTAAGGCGGGCATCCCTGGTGTTTGCTGATCCCAGTTCTACACTCTCCATCCCAACATCCCCTTTAAACCCAGTGTTTCTAGCTTTGGAAATGCAACACCAGCATCACCGCGAGAAAGACCATGGAGCTGCAGCTTCCTAGTGATCCTTGTTCCAGTTGTGACTTTCTGGTCATCAGCACTAGAGGAGGAGAGGAAGAGGAGATCATGGCCAATGCTCACGATGGATGGAGCATGATCAATCCAAATATAATCAAGAAAAGGGAGCTGGCCCAAGCCGACAGGCAGCTGCTTGCAGCATACGTAGTCCTTCAGCTCCAAACGCCTTAAGCTTGGAAAGTCCGACATTGTTCTCATCCATCGGGGTAGTCGATATCCAAAGTAACCATTGACCGTAAGACATTCTACGCAAGGCGGAGGACAGAGATTACTCAACACAACCTCGGCTCGTTCCTGCTCCTCGATTACATTGCTGGTTCCTTCGATCATCCCGTTGTCGGTGAGCCTACTGGCAAATGTCAAGTCTAAGATTTTCAAGTGCTTTTTACTGTTGAGCATTGCTGTAGCAGCCATAGAGCCTGAAGATGCAAGCTCTAGACCTCTTAAATCAAGCCATTTTAGGTTCGACAAAGACCGTAGTTCTTCCAAGCTGCTCCAGGCATGTCCCCTGTCATCCAAATAAGTTGGGAACCCCAACATGTTCACCAAGTTTTCTAGCTTTCCCATACCTGGAGGAATTGAGGTTAACCTCGTGCCCCTGAAGTCGAGAAACCTCATATTCTGTAGCTTCAAGATGCTGTCAGGAAGCTGATGAAAATTCCGACACCCCATAAGGTCAATGAACTGTAGAAATTTTAGATTTCCTATGCCTCGAGGGATTGCAGATATGCCTGTATTTGCAAGCCCCAAGTATCTTAGATGCTTGAGATGGCATATATAGTCCGGCAGGTCAACAAGATCTACACCTTGTAAATGTAGTACTCTTAGGCAAGAGATATTGTTCCTGAAATACGTCAACTCAGTTATACATCTCCCAAAGAGCAACAATGTCCTCAATGACACTTGCTTTTGTATAGCGACCCGCTCTATTGCAGTTTTGGATACAGACAAGTGACGCAGCTTTGAAGCACCTGCAATACCATGCACATCTTGTCTGTCATTGACAAGTAGTCCTTCATCTTTAACTATCTGTTGAGCAAAGGAGCGAATAACATCATGCATTGTGCTTGCTGATAGATCATAGGATCGTTTGTATGGCTCTAGAAGATTCCGTGACACCAACTCATTGTAATATTCAACTCCCAAATCTTCAGGTAGCGTCGATCTCATTATGTCATGTCCGTAACCTTGTGCAATCCACATCCTGACTATTACTCCTCTTATGATCA